GCACACATGCTTGACTTATTTCATTTGGTAAGTCTGTTATTCCTTTAAATTTAATTTTTTTTGCTGTTGGTGAAGTCTTTGGAACAATGAGAGGCAGCCAAAACAGTTAAATGGTGACGGTTAAAGTTGCAGAGTGAGCTGGAGCATGAAAGATAGCACAGGATTCCAGTAAATATCAGTGGGTGTGTCCACTTCTAACATTGTGTCATTTCAGACGTTTTATATTCATTTACTTATTTTACGTCAGATTCACATTTTAATCTTTCATTCTTGTTTAGTCTAGAATTGAAAAAAAATAGTCAGTTAATTCTCAGTTATGCAATTACAGGAGGAAAAATCAGTGTGGTCAGCAGTGTGCCAGAGTATGTTAATTTCTTTTTTCCTAGTTGGTTATGTAAATGCTTATATAATAGTTTTTATTTACCTCTCAGTATGTGGATTTTCGAAACTCGTGCATCGGTAATGACACGCTCATGTGAATGATAGGAAGTGTAAAACCCAACCCAAAACGGTAGCCTTAAAGCTGTGCAAGGAATGCAACCCAACTGTTCATGAGGTGGTCGTTCTACCTCTTTCCATTTGCAGCTACCAAGTGTTTAATCTGATACCCCTCCCCGCACACACACACGCACACACATGCACGCACACACACACACACATCCCCCTTTCCATCTGCTGTCGCAGGGAGTAATGGCAGGAAACAGGAGTTGGCTGGCAGACTTGGAAGCAGGATGGATGGAACTACTGTGGTGAACATTGTGGGGATGAAGTCAGTGTCTGGCTCACATTAAACCTCAACCAGACACATGCACTCACACAACAGCCACATTCCAGTCAACATGTTCAGAACTATGAAGGTGTTATTTTGACACAGACAAGCCGATGTCCTTTTTGAATTTCCCGTGGGCAGCCATTCTAAGTGGAGGTGCTCTGTGTGTGGTTCTCAGAGTACATGGTCCCTGTGATGATATCACTGATGGCATTCTCTCCAGACAGCTATAAGAAGTCTCACACGGGCCCGTAAAAGGTAAACACTGGTCCAAAACCTACTGATGTTCTTGGCAAGCCGTTCCCTTACGTGTGCAGGAAATATTGTCGAGCTGGTTAAAAAGACTGATGTCAAGGAAATCTGCCACACAGCAGGCTCATGTTTTATTGCCCCTCTGAGGGGAGACGGCTTTGAGGCGAGGGCTTCATTGAAGCGGCCTTTCATCTTGGCTCTGTAATTCAGATCTCCATGAGCTCATGCATGCTCTGACACTTCTGTTCCAGATACTAATCTCAGTCCATATTTTGCTGTTTCAACAATTCCCCATCTCACAAAAGATTTAATGATACAATTGCCTTACATTACACACAACTGCTTTAAAAATCAGTACACGTGCAGCCTCTTTTTTTTTTAACTTACACACTACCTACATTCTCATCTTTGTTCAGTGTGTTTTCACTATGGCACACATTTTCTTTCCGCTTTTGTACTTATTGTTTTCCCTGAAAACTCTGTGCATGTATAATCACTGCTGCTATGGCAACGGATAAATATTGACATCTCATCCTTTTCAACTGTTTATAACTCTTTTTCAGAAGGGCAAAGGGTAAAGGCTTGGGTAAGAATGTACTGCCTATGTACGTTGGTCATCACTTTTAATGGCAGCCGACTCATCTGAAGCTAGAAACTAAATATGTCGTGTGGAAAATACACCTCACTGTCATAAATTCGTCTCCACACTTCTGTTGATTGAGTGTCCGTTGGGAAAATCTATTAATGCTCTTCAAATACGTTGCCAGCATTTTTACATTCAAACACTGACTCTGGTCTGCAGCCCGGTTATGTTAGCACTCGCCGGCCTCATCGTGTGTCAATAAATAAGACGTATGGCTCAGCATTTTTTTTTTTTTAGCACAGAAAAATGACTGAAGAGATTGGACCAGCAGCATGAGCTTATCTTAACACCATGAGCTGATTATGGGCCAGATAATCTTTAAAAACACATTTTAAACAATGATAAAACCTCTATGATGCCAGTACGCATGAACTCTGAGTTTTGTGCACGTCTCACCATTAGTTTCTCAGTGGCCACATCAGTGTGTTACTCAGTTTCTCCACTCACAGTTACGGGCAGGCAACTTATGACCATCTGAAGCTGGGGGGCATTGCTCATATCCATTACTGGTTTGGAGATCGTTTTTAAAAGGCAGACATGAGTCTTTTTAAACGGATTTTCCAACGTGACCCTTTTGTGCCCCGTCAGAGAACGGCGTCTGGGAAGAGCAGCTGCCAACCTTCTGGGTCATAGAAAAAGTGGTCTGTTCTGTCTCTCAACTCAGAGCCTTAAATCTGCACTTACTACAACCTGGAGCAGCGGGAGCTTACTTTGTTGGTTTTTTAGCTCTTACAAAGCAATGCTTGTTCACACATCCAGCAACAGTCGTTCGGTTTAGGGTTTCCCAGCAGCTGACAAATCTGAGCCTATGATTCATCCTCCCTCTGACTGTTGCCAAATCACTCCAGACAGAGATATTTCCCTGCTCAATATGGCTGCTTGGTACTTATCAGGTAGTTTAAAAAAAAACATCTTAATGTGCTTTATCCCCTCAGCTGCCTGGAGCTGAGAGATCTTGCGGGTTGGAAACCAAAACAAGAGGCTATAAGTGATTTCCTGATGATAATTAGCATAAACTAAACCTTTCAAATTATTTACGGTTGCGTCATTGTTTATGTGAAAAATACGGACGAGCAGATTTAGCTTGTTTACGTTTCTTGTTGGGAAAGCAGCCTACAAGATCAAAAATGAAGGCTTTTGGCGTTCCATATGAGGCAGAATGTAGGACAAAGTGAAATGTTTGACAAGATGTTGACTTGAAAAATTCTTTTGTTTGCAGATTCAATTTGTTAATGATGGCTGTGCTACTAATAGGCAGCAGTGTTGTGCTCATTAGTGAGGGGAGCACAGCAAGTCCCTGTTTCTACTGACATCCTGACTGTGTAAAGCAGTAGGGGAGATGGTACTTGTAGCCATCCCTCGGCCTTAAGCATTCATTTTCACCAATAGTTAGTGTTTTATAGAAGAGGGGAAACAGCCGTCAGTCTGCCTTACAGTACTTTACATGTGTTACAGCTTCATGAAACCTTAATGAATGACAAGCCTCCAGGTTTGAACGCAGTCCTGCTGCTTTTTCTCACAAAATAGTGCCTCTTATTTTTTCCATTTTCAGTGAGTTCTTCATAAATTATTTGCAACCACTGCTTGTTTTATTTCCACGAGTCTGTTCAAGTCCAATGAGTCGCTGCGCTGCTCTCCAACACATCTGAGACCTAGCACAGCGTTGTTCTAATCAAATTCTCATGTGCCGTGTAGTCGGAGATGATTTAAGTTAATAGATGTTTGTTTAGAGCAGTTACACTTAGGAGGAAGTGGCATGGGAAGCATAGACAGTTTTTGCTGTGCTAAATAGTATGGCAGATTGTTTTATTTTAACAAGGAGCATATGAAAAATTGCTCATCAATAACCTATGGGGGTGTTTATATATATATGGATCCACATACGACACAGTGACCAGTGTTTATGTGAAGTACAGGTCCACGTCACTGAAAAGCCAAAAAGAAAAGCAGCCTGCACCGTCCACGCACACACACACTTGAACACTTGTTTGAAACGTCAACACTTCCAAAGAGCACACTTCTTTTTTTCTTCTTTTTGACATTCTCTCCTACTAATTTCAGGGAAATGGTTAGAAAAAAAAATAGCTCGATATAGCAAAAGCCAAACAGCATAAGCTCTTCACCCTTTCAGGAGCCACATGTGTTGTTAGATAGATATATATAGACATAAATATGACCCTCTGAAGTTTGATCTGTGTTATTTTTGTTTTCTCCTTAACCTGCCACTTAAGATATGAGAGCAACGACAGCTGAGAAACCAACAATACCATCTATGCTGACATAAGAGATGATCTGCATCTATATATTTCAACAATCTGGGGGAAAAATCTAAATCTCTATCTATTGAACATCTGATGTTTTACTTGAATCAATTCCTTTGCTGCAGATATCAGCTCTACAATGCAAACATTAGGCAGTGACTGATATTTTATAACTTCAATATTTTGGTTGTTAAATTAAAAGACTATGTGAATAAACTGATAAGAAAAACGGTTATTAGTACAGATTTTGCCAGTCTGAGAGATTGAGCAATAAATTCTGACAAATTCATGAGGTTTTACATCAAAGTCAGCTCTGGTTTTAGTTTATGAACTTAGATTCAAGCCTGAACAGAGGGTTCACTCACTGAGACACATTAAGTGCAATATTCATAGCCTTTTTGGGTTGATTCCTGCATAATTAAGCTCAAGAGTCAATATCAAATCAAATAGGTTCAATATAGATATATGGAAAAGCTTAAATGAATGCTTGCACCTCAGTGGCAACTAGTATGTGTTACCACTTACTGAATTGAAATACTGGGAATAAAAAGATACAAATACTGTCCTTACAAACCAGAGATGTTTAATTTCTCTAATTCTTTCAATATTCCCTGTATAGTCTTATTCGTTTCTTTTTTTAACTTCTCCATTTCTCTAATTGACCTCGAAACGAGTTCATATTGAGTTTAGGATGTCAACATATCTAAACAAAAGAATGGGTGAGCAGTGTCTTACATTTGAACATTTGGATTATTCCTAGTATGTTATAAAACATCATACAAGCTGCTTCTGAACATGGTAGCTTTTCTTATAGCAGCCACAACACAGGGTGGAGAAGGTCAGACTGAGGCAAACATAGAGAGACTGAAGTCTTTTTAATGTGTTTTTTATCTGGGTACACCTCAGCCTTCAGAGGAAGGTCATTACAAAGTTCTGGGATCTCCTTTAACCTCTGATGAAGCGTTTCTATTTTTAGTCAGTGGCCTCTTCCAGCAGTACAAAACCTCCATCCTTCAGGCACAGACGAACGGTTTGACTATGAAAGTGATGGAAATCATTTCAGACAGCGCACTCCATCAGCACATTTAGCATCTTTTCGGAGAACTACTTTCAAAAATTCCAAGCCGTTAGGGAAGCTGTGATACTTTAATTCAGGTTTTAAATCGTCCCCCATCTGCATACTTCATTTCACTCGCACAGATGCTGTGCTCGGCCTCTGAGACTAAACAGGATAGGCAGCGACACAGAGAAAGAGCCGTGGTAAGAGAAGGATTATTTTAGGTTCGCTGATGGTTTGTGTCAAAGTCAGCTGTGGCAGTAATGATCCAAACACCAGATTCCTGTGCAGTGATCTGAAGACCAGGTTTTTTGCCTGAGGTAATGAGGCAGGTTGTGAGAGTGCTCCCACTTTGGCTAATAAAAGCAGCAGGATTAGCTGTCGGCTGTGAGATGAGTTTACAAAATGTTTCGACTGCAGCAAGTCGCACAATCAGAATGGAGACAATAGTGGTACAGAATGAATGGTCAAAAGCAAGAATGTTTTTTTTATTTGTACATTTTTTTACACCCTTACAGCCACAGGGAGGCTGTTTTTTCAATCTTAGAGATTAGACATTTTTCTGTTACGAGCATTTTAGGATTTTTCCTCCTGTCCTGGAATTTAGTTATAATGGCACATGCACAATTAGAACAAACTCTTGGGTGTGTGAAGCATCAGGAATTCAGGAAAGACAAGATGCACTATAGATTCTGCAGATTCTAAAAACGCAGTCTAAGCCTGTAGACAGTTCTTGTGTATAACTGCCTATTTTCTAGACCAGCACCAGTCACGCAAATTCAAAACACTCAAGTACATTCAGAGTAGCACCTTAGCACTTACTGTGACAAAATATGTTATAAAAGAGTACAAAAATGCATAAAATGATTGAACATGAATGAACACCGATACACTCTTGCTCAACAGCCATAAATCAATGTTACCATGTGCCAATACAACGCCAGTAGATCCATATTATCTCAAACCTTCTGTGCCAGAAGGTTGATGAAACCAGTGATGTGTTCAAATGACTTAAATAAATAATAGGGTAGACATTGGACAATTTCATAGCTGTCGAAATGTTTGACTTGTATCTCCAAGCACAGGCTAAAGACACACTTTGATGAGAATATCCTTATCCCAGAATTAGATATTCAACAGGACATACAAAAGAGAGTATAGCACAACATTTAGAAGAAAATGATTGACATTAAACACCTTCAGTGCTTGATTTCTGACTGGAAAAAAAATCAATTTAGTCAGTTTGGATGTCTTCACCATTTGATGCTCAGCTATGTGATCAAATCACAAATAAACCACTAAAGGCAACTTTAAAAGAAGAAGACCTTTTTCTTGAAATACTTTTTTACCTCTGTGACTTTTCAGTCTCAAAACAAGGTACATATTTTGATGAGATCCCCTTACTTAAGTGTAGGTCTAAGTGTCCACTAGAACATGTCTATCAGAGTTTCATTGCATAGTCTACCTTCCTCTAACTGAATGATTTTGTGGCAGTGCCTTGTGAAGGAGAGGCATCCAAAAGCCATTACGGGACATCTGTAAAGTTTGGTTTAGTAAGGATACTTTGAGATGGAAATGTAGATGATGAACATGCTCTGGTAGGTAATGCGTCCCTGTGTGGAGATGGTGGTGGCCTGCACCTTGAGCCGCACCAATCCTGGTCTGTCCAGAACCCGCAGGGTGAAGATGATCCCTCTGCCTGCCTCGTCTTTGATGCCGAACACCTGGCCCATCGAACCTGACTCGGATTCCTGCTCAAGTATTGTGAAGGACGTACGCTCTTGCAAAACGCCAGACTCTGAGAATGCTGACAGTCGTACCACATTGTGATTGGACGGTATGCCGGAGGGAAGGGTGAGCAGCTTGTACTGCAAAAGTAGAGGAGAGCCTCCTGTGGCACAGTCCAGAGAGCAGGGCCTATAGCAGGTCCTTTAAACGCCAGCAGGAAAGAAATACGTCACAATCACAAAATATTTATTTACATATCTGAACATGCACTATCCTGCAGCTTGAATGTTGTCTTTACCCAGGGCTTCCTCCCTTCTGGTAGGAGGCAGGGCAGGGTGTGTCCAGACACTGGTATCCCCCTCTGGTATTGAAACACATCTGATTGTGTCCACACTGAATGCCTTGCTCGACACACTCATCGATGTCTAATATTAGTGAAAGAGGATAAAAAACTTGGTATTATAACATTAAAATGAAAAGACCGGTTGGGTATTAAGCCTGTGATGAGATTCATACCTCTACAGTTTCTCCCATTAGGCAGAAGCTGGTATCCTGGAGGACAGAAACACTGGAAGCTGCCAATGGTGTTACGGCAGTCATGTTGGCACGGCTTTTTTACCACACACTCGTCCACATCTGTACAGAAAACAACGGAGAATCAAGATTCTGACAACAGCCTGTTATATTCTAGCTTTTTATAAAAAACCCACCAACACAAGTGCCATCTCGGTTGGTGTACCCGGCAGGACAGCTCTGGCGGGTGATGCGTGGCACTGAGTTGGAACGGGAGAGGATAGGCCTCCCGAGGGAGGACACCAGCTGTGGGCGGAGTCTGGCCCTGACTCTGGTGCCGTTGGTGAAGGTCTGGCCTCTCTCCAACCCGGCGCAGGAGCGCCCGTCCCCAAGCAGCGCGGTCCCGGGCGGACACATGCACCGGAAGCTGCCGGGAACATTACGGCACTGGTAGGCACAAGGATTTGGCGTTTGCTGGCATTCGTCTATGTCTGGAAGATTGGAAAAAAGTCAGGTCGGTTTTTATGCAGGCTCTGATTCTGTACTGATTCTGTTTTATAAAAACACAAAAGCAATGTCTTACCCAAACACGGAAGCCCGACTCCCTGAGATCTGTATCCTCTAGGGCAAACACAGCCATAGCCTCCAACTGTGTTCTGACATATCTGACTATAGCGACACATATGACTTCCGTCCTGGCACTCGTCAATGTCTGGAAAAAAAGCAAGAGATGCCTTCTTTCTTTCTTTTTTATTTATAGAAAATGTACTCTTCTAGTTTCTTCTAGTGTCCATAAGTTTCTTCTAGTTTTCACAAGTGCTTAAAAGTCTAAAATAGTATTTTCATATATTTAATCCACTAAAGGCTGTTTTATGAAATTATCATTTACCCTTCAAAGTTAATCTGTGCAACATAACAGGGAGAAACTGCTTAAAATGGCATCAAAGGGCTTAAAAGTTCATTTTAGGCCTGGCTGAGGCACTCCTTTAAGAAAGATGCTGCCCATATATCCATTTCCTCAAGAGAAAGTAATCCGTAAAATTCAACAGTGACAAATGGTAACACTGTATACGTAAACATTTATGGAATGCTTTATTTACGGTCTATCGCTGAAGTTAGCACAGCAAAAACAAAGAAAGTGGACATAAATAAAGTCTCAGGGCTACGAACCCACACAGGCTCCATTCTCAGCCGTAGTCATCCCAGTTGGACAACTGTCAAAACACTGGTATCCACCGTCTGTGTTGCGGCACTGTTGGTGAGCTGGGCATACATTCCTCAAGCACTCATTGATGTCTGTAAAAGTTAAAATCCATCAAAAGTGAAACTGCAATTACAAATGGCCCTTCAGGTTCAGATTCATTTGTTGTAGTGTTTGTTTTTCTGAGGTTTAAGCCAGGGGCCCTCTGGATATACTGCAGCATGGTTGGGTCCAAAGTTACCAATTTCTCTTAAGGCTACTTTAAAAGACAATTAAACCTTTGAACATTGGATGAGGAGCACACTGACCCATGCAGCGATGTCCAGACATCTGATATCCCGGGTGGCAAATGCAACGGTAGGAACCCAAAGTATTGAGGCACTGATGTTGGCAGGGGGACAGGGCAGACTCCTGGCACTCATCCACATCTGAAACACAAACGAATCGACACAAGTAACTTCATCGGCGTCCATAAGTCAAACACTGTGTGCTGGGACAGGAGGAGAGACATGCCCGTGCACGGCATGTTGACAGTATCAGAGAGCAAAGGTGTCCTGCCTTCACAGCTGGTTCCTGTGATGCTGGGTTTAAATCCTGGTCCACACTTTGCCTGGCAGCGGTATGTGCCCACTGTGTTTACACACTGTTGGTTGTAGTGGCACATGTGGGAGCCTTGGGAACACTCATCAATATCTGAATGAGAAATAAAAGTATAAGGAATAAAGCTGAGACATGATAATGACGAAGAAGATGACTTCTTTGATAGGCCTATTTTTTATATGATACAACCTCAAAACTTCTGGAAAATATCATTTTCTTTTTTTGTTGTTGTTCCTTGTGTCTCACCTTGGCATGTGTTTGTCTCTGTAGAAATGGTGAAGCCAGAGGGGCAGGCACAGGTAAAACCTCCCATAATGTTGTTGCATGAATGCGAACAGGGGGACTGCAGCGCACACTCGTCTTCATCTGATGGGAACACACATTTTAAGATAATAAAAAAAGAGTTTCAAGTGATGCTGCCAGAAGACAAATGAGGCAGAAATTAGGACAACAGCATACCGGCACAGTAGGAGGTTGTATCAAGAACGAAACCTTTGGGGCATGTGTCTTCATAGCCATCTGTAAACAGAGTCCATGGGATGTTAGCTCTCTCAACATTTATTGACTTTCTCCATATGAAGCTGTAATGTTTTGCAAGTTTTCTTTTCTCTCTTTTTTTTTTCCTGACCAGGTACGAGGAGGCTGGCAGTAATTTCGAAGTCCAAAGTGAGAGTGAACATGTTGTAGACGCTGTTAATCCCGGAGAGCTTGAGCAGCTGGAGAACAGGGCCCTGGCGCTCCTCGTGGCCCTCGTAAATGATGGTATGATTACAGCGCAGCACCATGGGGCTTCCTCCTCTCTGGTGGCTCTGCGATGACCATGAGTACAGCTGCCCCTGGCCTGTCTGAATATATGACTCATCAAACTCCTGTGGGACAGAGGCAAAATCAGGTCAGAACTTCTCAAGCATAACAGGATCACAATTTCTTGACAAAATGCAGAAGTTTGTAATCAAGGTCTATGAACTGCATTGACTTCAACACACCTGGAGGCCCAGATGGGATGATGATAATGACGGAGGAACAAGTCCATTAATCACAATGTCTATCAGTAGGACTCCCTCTGAATCCAGACCTCTGGCAACATGGGTCAAGCGAAGGACCTCCCCTGAATGAAGAAATCAAAATTTCATGTGGACAATTGTGTATTTTAAAGGTAGTGAGTGCTGCCATCTGGTGGTTGTTACAACAAAACACTACTATGCTGTCAAAAAGGGGAGCAATGCATCTACATTTTGGGTTGTTTTCATCCCAGTTGCACACCAGTGCAAAACAAAAAGTATACCTGTCAACAGGTAGGGGAAATATTCCATGATTTCATCATTTTATCACAAAAAAGCACAACTCCATAAATAATCCAAATATTAAAATGATTGCCAAATTGATTCAGTTCATGTTTGTGCACATCAACATTTGCAGTGGGGATAAGCTAACCTGTCTCAAACTCGAGCTGTGACTCCTGCCGGAACCGGCCCTGTGTGAAGGCGTAGCCGTTTCTGGCTGCCTCTCTCTGCAGCACGGTGGTCCAATAGATAGGAGTAAACACAGACACCAGCACCCGCATCAAGGGACCTACAAAAAATAAAAAAAGTCTTATCCTCTTAGACAACCAAAGATAAGATACAAATACATTTTGCATAAAATGTGGCACATAATGGGAAAAAAGTTCCTCTTTCAGGTTCTTAAAGACATCTCAAACAGATTCTGAAGTTATATCTCTTTACCTACTTGTTAGACAAGGGGGGGACTTCTATCAAATGGCATTTCCTGTAATTACTCGCTTCAAACAAATTAAAATAAGGGGGGATTTTTTTTCTTAAAAAAGTCTTTTCAACCCACATGGTATAAATTAAAACATGTGAGTAAACAGAGAAAACCCTCAGTATATTACAGTTAATGACTAACCCACAGAGGGAGGGATGTTGTCCAGGCGTGCCTGTAAAGTGCTGCTGCCGTCTGCCATGTTGTCAGTAATGTTGGCCTCCAGGAAGGAAACTCCAAACTCTCTCTCATTCACCATTCCAATTAGGCTGCCCCGGGTCCTACGTGGAACCTCACCTGTCATCGGCATCCCACACAAGCAGAGAGGGAATTGTTAATTTCACTTGAAAAAAGATCTGTATTAGATACTGTTCAGCTTCTGGATGGAAACTATGGCTATATGCCATTCCTAAAAAACAAACTGTTGTTTAAAAGACAACTTAGAATAAGAGAAAAATCCAGTCAGTCCTACCTGGACACAGACCAGCCTGACATTTTCTGGAGTCTGTACTTGGACCGCTGCACGATCGGCCACCATTTGCTGGTTCAGGATTGTTGCATAGTCTCACTCGTTCCTGAAGGCCTTGCCCACACGTGCTACTACATGGACTCCATTCCTCCCAGTTTGAGTAACCGCCATTTACTGAGACAGAGAGGAAGAGGGAATTAAAGACTTCAACTTCATTCACAGAAACTGCGTTGGTTTAGTACTTTAACATGAATCCCAAAAAGTGCATATAAAGGTTTTGATGTGGGAAAATTAGTTCTGTGCAAGGGATCCTAAGCGGTTAAGGAAAAACAATGTTTTTAACATTTTATTATTTAGTTCACAACCTATTAAAATGTGTGAAAGCATGCAGACAGAGCTCACCCTGAACCTTGAGGGTAATTGTCCTCTCGGCCTTTCCAGCCTCACTCTCTGCCACACACTGATATTCTCCTTCATCTGCAGCCTGCAGGAGAAACAGACAGGATACATTACTTTGGTTTAATTAGTACTATATTTAATAAAAATGGATCACAAATATGAATAACATTAATAATAACACAAATCTCATACAATCAACAAAAAGGTAAGCTGGCATTAAAACCGAAAAAAGCTGTCATTTTGGATGAAACAGATCATTTTATTCGACTGAACTGTTATGATAGACATTATTGGACCAGAGATGGGAAATTTCATATTAGAGAGCTCTGTGGGAAGGACAGTCATCTGTCTGTGAGAAAGTCTCAGCTGCAGGCTGTGCAATTATGGTAGCAGTTAGAGACTTTAACAAGGTTACAGCCAAAGGAAAGAGGGGCAGAGTCTGGGAACATCCAGCCCTCAGTTTGTCTCTCCTCTCTGTTGCTAATGCTTTTATCCTCGGTGGCTGAGCTGAATCTGATTTAGGTGGAAGCAGGACACTGCAGAACAGTCACACACTGTTCCTCCACCCAAGGGGACTACAGATGAAGCCTAGATAGGATGAAAGCTGCTCCAATATTTTCCGTGACGTGGACGTTTGTAGAGGCAGTTTGTTTAAGAAATCTCCATATTTAACGAAACCTATATCCACAAATGCACATTCTCAGCTGATTAGCCAATTACAAGTGACATACGGTGATGCTGTAAATGACCAACGATCCATTGTGGAGTGTTTGCATTCGAAGGAGGCGGAGTAAAGGTTTCCCATTTCGGAGCCAGCGCAGGACGGGGCTGGGATCTCCATGGACTGGACAGTCAAGCATTGCAGAACCCCCCTGAACGACCGTCTGAGACGTGTGGGCTTCACCTTTTAACACCGGAGGCTCTGTGGGCACACAGCTCATAAATCAAGTGGCTGTAGTCTTCTTTGGAAGGTTAAATGCGGGCGAATCCTTTACAAAACAACTCACCTCTGATACGGACAAATGAGAGGGCTCTGATGGAGCCCACACTGTTCTCCGCCACACACACATAGGTCCCAGCATCGCTCAAGCTCACATTCTCAATGATGACTGAGCTCCTGCCAGCGTCATCTATGATGGCCCCTGAAATGTTTGAGTTGACCATGTCACATGAATCTACAGATGTACCAGAGAGAACTGACTAAACCAAACCAAAACAAATCTGGATACCGCACTGAAAGAATGGAAACCAATACCTTTGTAAGGAATGTTGTTGACAGTCCAGGAGATGATGGGAGAGGGCGTTCCCTGAGCATGGCAGGATAACACCAGGCCCTGCCCTTTGTTCAGGGTTACATCACCTGGCAGTTCTTTGAAGGCAGGCCTCATGTTGACAGACAGGTGGATGTCTTGCCTTACAGAGCCAGCTGGGTTTGTGGCTACGCACGTAAATACTCCAGCATCTCCAGGCTGTGTGACAAAACAAACAAAAGTCACTCCTCTGTACAGAACTAACGACAGACGTAGCCTATGTTGGGGTGGTTATCAGACTAACCTCAGCCCTCTCAATAATCAGCTCTCCTGACCGCAGGACTGTGAATTTGCCAGGCAGGTTGGGCACCACCGTACCATCCTTTTCCCAGGACACTCTGGGTTCTGGTGACCCTTGAGCGGCACAGGGCAGCAGTGCCTGGAACCCTTGAATGACTGACAGTTTGCTCTGCGCCGGAGGAATCATGGGCGGGACTGAAATGCCACAATAAGAGCATGTTATGGACCTTCCAAAACAGCAGATGGAGTTCCAGAAAACCATCGCTCACCTTGAACCAGCAGCCGCATATCATGGCTGGCCCTGCCAGCCAGGTTTTTGGCAGTGCACGTGTAAACGCCCGCATCGCTCCGCTGGGTAGAAAATATTACCAGCGTTCCGTTGGCAAACGCACGTGCATGGGCACTGTCAGCCACGGGCCTTCTCTCTTTATGCCAGGTAAGTTCAGGCTGAGGCTGCCCGTCGGCCACACACTCCAGACTGACTGGCTGGCCTAACACAGCAGTGTACTCCACACGAGGCACGCTCAGCACTGGTGGAACTGAGAAAAACACAACAGGTATCAGTCTACCTCTAAATGTCTGACGAGCTTTACTATCAGTGTGTGTAAACCACATCTGGACAGTCCGTGCGATCAGAGGATTACATTACCTTGGAGGACTAGTTTGGTTTTTGCTACAGCTACACCTGCTTCATTCTTCGCCACGCACTGATAGGTCCCCGCATCCCCGAGTGTAACGCGAGAGAACTTCAGAGCTCCGTTTGACAGCACAGCCAGCCTGTGACCTGTAGCAATCACATAAGCAAAAAATCAATGTCTAAGGGATGCTTTGAGAAAAGTGTGCATAGGTAAGTTAGAAAAGTCATTACTTTATTAAACATTTACTATACTGTCAAATTATGGAATGCACTAAAATCCCTTTAAATTGCTCAGTGAGTCACAAATATTTTTCCCTGACATTATAAGACAGAAATACATATTGTGCTTGTTACCGGCTGCTATAGGAACTCCCTCTCTCTGCCAGGTGATTGACGGTCGGGGAAAGCCTTGAACGTCACACGGGAGAACAGTTCCGTGATGCAACACTACTTGCACTTCCTCTGCCATTGGCCTGACCTCTGGGGGCTCTGAGTGCATAGGACATCAAACTGATTATTATGTGGGTTCATATTATATGTACAGAATAAATCTCACTGAGATGCTTGCAGCCCACCTTGCACAGTGAGGGAGACGTGTTTGTGAGCAACTCCGGCCGGGTTACGAGCTGAACACGTGTATCTGCCAGCATGACTGGGCAGGGCAGCGGTTATCTCCAACACTCCTGCATAAGTATGAGCACAATACACACGTGGGATTTGTGTTTCAGAGCAACGTGACATGGGACACGAAGATTTTGCAATAACCTGTACAGTTCAACAGTTCTTACCGGTGGGGAGGACGCGATAACTTCCCCCTCTGCTGCTCAGTTTGGCTCCACCCTTTGTCCATGAGACAGTAGGCTGAGGGTGCCCTTGTACCTGACAAGGCAACACCACTGAGGACATTTTCACAGCTTTTACTGCTGTGACATCATCCTCAATAGATGGTGGGACTAGAAGGGAACACATCACATTCATGGGTTCACACCTCTAAAATAACACTCTGCTGTTTGGTTGAGGTTAAAAGGTTTACGTGAATACCTTGCAGGATTACTTCAATTACCCTACGCTCCTCGCCTACGTCATTGACTGCAGTGCACTCAAAATAACCTTTGTCCTCACTGGACGGAGACAAAAGGACCAGAGACCCAGAGGGCAGTAGCCTGGACACACAATCCAACAGAGTTGTTAGTTTTAATAGCTTTGTTCTTCTGGACACTTGTTCAAAAAGAGCACAGCCACGGCTTTGTCTTTACCTGTATGCACCAGGGTGCTGATTAATATCAAGAGGGGTACCGTTTCTTTTCCAGGAAACTTTAGGTAGAGGTATACCGGTGGCCTCACAGTTCAGCACAGCTCTAATTCCCGTGGTTACTGTCACATTGGTTTGACCTGGACTGATTGCAGGACCCGCTAATAAGAGACCATCAGATAAGCAGAAAAAAGGAACTAAGTCAGTTTATACTTATCAAATGAGGTTAATAGACAAATGGGGAGAGATAGAGAGAAAATAGAAGTGATATTTTCAACAGGAAAAACGTCAGACTCATGAGAAAATGTACGTTTCATTTACCAAATACGCGCAGATTCATTCCTCTGTGATCTGAGCCAGCCTGGTTGGACACTGAGCAGTAGTATCGACCGGCATCATTCAGTTGAACCCCAAGAATCTGCAAGGAGCCCTCAGATAACATTATGTACCTGCAACAGAAGCACGACTAAAAGGTGAGTGAACAGACAGCCACCATGTGAAAAAGTGTGCAATTGTCGCAACATGTGTTAGATCTTTAGCTTTTTATGACATACTTATTGTTGTTTTTAAGCACAGGGAAGCCATCTTTCCTCCATGTGACCACAGGGGAGGAGTCACCATCCACTTCACAAGGCAAAACTGCGTCCTGGCCAACATTCACAGTCACCACAGAGCTGCTCTCCTTTATTACTGGTGGTACTGAAAATCCACATCATGCTTTCAGTTTAGCAGGTAAAACAGTTAAAGACATACTGAAATATCACCCCTGCATGCAGATCGGTCATCCAATGTAAATTAAGTATAATAAAATATCCTAGATTTTGCTTAATAAAACCATAGCTGTAGTACAGCTCTTACAGAGAATCTCCACTGTGAAGAAGATGTTGGTGCTGCCAGCCATGTTGGTAACCTCACAGCTGTACTGGCCACTGTCCTCAGGCCTGACTTCCTGAATCTCCAGATACTGACCTCCTGCCAACCGCTGGATTCGCCCTCCCAGCTGTACCGAAGTAGGAAAGAATAATTAAGCGTACGAACCAAAGGAGTTTCAAGTATGTTTTACTCAACGGAATCCGTACCTGCAGTTTGGTCTCATCCTTGTACCATTCTATGTCAGGAGGAGGGTCACTGTCGGTCAGGCACTCTAAAGTCAGGTGTCCATTAAGTGGCACAGTCAGTGTCCTCACATCTCCTGCGCCAAGAAGAGTTGGCGGGACTGAAACAGAACCAATTATTATTATTAAGCACCACCTCTCAGTTGTAAAGCTTACATTTACAGTAAGATGGAAGACATATACACTCTATTAGTTTGTGTTCACAATAAAACATCCAACCTTAACTTCACTGAGTGTCTTTCAAAAAGTGCTGCATGTGTGTGTTTCAGGGAGCATGAGTCAGCTAATCTGACTGTGCTCTAACAAGAAGCACAGCTGTTTTAAAGGTTAAGCATAATCAAAATTTCTTGAATTTTAAAGGATAACAAGATACCATATTGTTTGCAGATTTTAGTGGCACTTGCAGCATAAACAGTTTTTTTTTTACAGGATTGTACTCATGAACTTGAAAAAGTTTAGGAAGGGGCTGGACATGATATATGTCTGCAGCACTGAAGATTTAGTAAGAGCAGCTTGTTTTACCTTGGACTCGGACCCAGTGGTTTTTTCCATCTTCTCCTGCTGGGCTACTGGCCAAGCAGGTGTACAGACCTGCATCTCCAACCTTTAAAGTGAGGGCATTAATCAGTTGTAGTGGCTCTTATATAACTGTGCTGTGGACTGCTGTCGGCAAAACTTTGACTTTGAGCTTACATAAAAAGTTTGCGTATTTAAATAATAAACTGTTGGCTTTGTCATCTGATGCATTCAATTGATTAGAATGCTGTTGGAATTTGTGGGCACATATAAAATTTGATCTGTAACATACCTGAACATTACTGATCCGAACAAAACGTCCATCCTGCTGAACAATGTCTGACCCCCCCAAGGGTCGACCGTCCTTGAGCCAGCTGAGGGTGGGAGGTGGGACCCCCATAGCGGAGCACTCCAGCTCCAGAGCACTGTTCACTGCAATGGTCAGCTGTTCTGGGGAGCCGAGGCTGGTTATCTTTGGAGGTTCTGTGTAGGAAAGCATATGGTTTCGGCTCAGTTTTTAAGGGCTTCGCATCGTGACTTTGAAGTTGGCGCATGATTTAGGTGTACAGATTGCTCTACCAAGCACGGTGAGGTTGAAGCTCTTTGTGCTGCTTCCAGCCTGGTTGCTGGCCACGCAGCTGTACAGGCCCGCGTCTGAGGGAGCCACATCGGGCAGCTGCAGCCGCGTCTCCTGTCCATCCAGCAGCAGGTTGCGGTGGAGCGATAGCGGCTGGCCATCCTTCATCCAGGTCAGTGTGGGAGGGGGGACGCCACGTGCTTCACAGGTCAGTGTCACCAGGGATCCCTGGACAACCGTAACCGGCTCTACTGGCTCAATGTGATCCACGCCAGGGGGCACTGCCAAACCAGAAACATCCTGGATGAATTACTCAGGTCTTTAATGCTTCATGTCATATCCAAGGAGGTAATCTGCTTGATTATACCTTGGACTTGGACGTCATAGCTGAGCTCAGCAAGACCAGCTCGACTGCTCGCCACGCATGTGTAAACTCCAGAGTCAGACAGCTGCACAGGAGCAATCCTTTTTTTTTTTTTTTCAAAATAGAAGAACGTTTAGAATGACCTCACCTAAGAACATGTCATCTATTCATAAGATGTCAGACTGACCTCAGCAAGGAGTCACCAGAGAGGAGGCGTGTGCGGGGAGAAAGGAGCAGCGGATGGCCATTTTTCAGCCAGCTGATCTGAGGCGGAGGATTTCCTGTTGCCTGACACTCCAGAGTCACGATGCTGTCCTGTGTGACCTGCACCTCTCTGGGGACCGCGGTCTCCCCAGAGATAGACGGCGGAACTGTGGCAAGCCAAAGCAAGAGAGCATGAATAAATAATTAATTTAAACCAGAAGGAAAAGAGGCAGAGATTATGCTAAAGCTGACCTAAAACAAAGAGGGTGTAGATTCTGCTTTCCTGGCCTGCCGGGCTGACGGCCAAGCAGGTGTATGTCCCAGAATCCTCAGCACTCAGCCTCAACAGCGTTAGTGTGCTGCCATCAGGGGTCACACTGCAGACATGGAAATGTTTTGTGTTCACATCCGTTTTTCCTTTCTTGGCCACCCCACCCCTGGATCTCAGAATTATTTTCTCATCATAATTATCATCATCGTCCCACAACTTTCTCATACGCAAACACAGAGCAATGTCCTTTTTCTGGCTGAAAAGGGTTTTAATGACCATGTCAGCCTCCAACAGCTGCGAAACAGCTGTTCTTAGTAGGTTTTTATGATGAAATTAAGCAAGAGACTGCAAAGCATTTGTCTTTAAGCGCATCATTGGGTCATGCTTATTATCCTCTATGATGATTGCAAATTTCCACATTTTAAAGGAAGGGCAATGATCTTTTCCTGGGAAACACATTAAACACTGTTTAAACCGGCTTAATATGCTGTGCAAGACAGCGTATAACGTTAATCAAGTCAATCATTACTACAGTTACTTGGTCCAGTTTTTATAGGAGGACTGAATGACGTACGAGATGTGACGGGTGTCTGAACCCTCTAGAGTTACGCCGTCTTTCAGCCAGCTGATGTGAGGGGCAGGGATTCCGTTTGCTCTGCACTCCAGCGTCAGCTCCTCTCCCGTGGGTGCACTCACATCAGATGGTCGGTCCGAGCCCAGGATGGTGGGAGACACTGGTAACAACAGATTAAGACAACTGTTATATGGCACTTAAGATCAACTAAACACTTCTTTGAGTCTTTGTGCTACTATATTTTCCCATTGGTTGGTTAAGGCACAGCGTCATTCATCATATACATAAACATTATCTGCATGTGCATTCACATATATGTATGTATAGAAATAAACATATAGGTAGGTGCGTAAGTAGGTAGGAGTGTTTGTATGCAGATTGAATTTCTAGGACACAGAGAGTCTTTACCTTGTACTGTGAGGGTGTATTCTTTCTGTATTTGTCCCTCGCTGTTCTTGGCTACGCATGTGTACTTCCCGGCATGAGACAGACTAAGAGGACCCAGCTCCAGCCTGTTACCTCGAACGGACCACTGCCACTGCAGACTGCTCTCTGGGCAGGGAATGCATCATTCAACCTTGCTGTCAGGAGAGAAAAATCCAACTTTTCCTATAGTTGCCCCTCACTTACCAATGGGTGTTCCATCTTTGAGCCAAGTGATGCTGGGGACCGGTACTCCTGTGGCTTCACACAGCAGGGCCACGTGGGACCCCAGGGTGTAATTTATGGACTCCCACAGAGGCCCATCGAGTACAGGTGGAACTGTGGCATATGTTTGAATTGTAAGTCCAAACATGATGACCACTACTTTTCAAAAGCAACTTCACTGGAGGCAGTCTTACCATGAACAGTCAGTCTGAATGTCCTATCCACCTGTCCAGCAACATTGGTAACTTTGCAAGTATATATGCCACCGTCTGCTGTCTAAAAGAACAGAGAAAAGGCTATGGTTCGGAACACTGCTATTTATTGATAGATTGATGGCTATTCCGCTGCTATCCTAAGCATTGGGTTTCCTCTCAGGTTAATCGTCACGTGTGGTGGGCCATAAAAGTCAAAGACGTTTACATCAGACATTAAGCATGTTAGCAATTAAGCACTGACGATCCTGTGATTAGCCCCGCTGAAAAACAGGGCCGAAAGCCCTGAAGAAGGATTTTGTTTTATTTGCACACTTGCATGACATAATGAATTTTCCCTGACCTGAACTCCAATGATTTCCAGCTGGTGGCGATCAATCTTCAGCCCGTTGCCTGCAGCCAGTTGAAGCCCATTTTTGTACCACGTGACCTCCGGCTCAGGAACACCGTGGGCTACACACTGCAAGGTGACTGAGGAGCCAACTTGAGGGGTCACCGAGTCTGAGTCAGCATCCTGCCGGGGCTTCAGGGTGGGCAACACTGTGGGTTTGCAAACACAGAGGAAGGATATAGCTTATCTGTTCAGAAGGGGTATGATTCACTCTTGAGCTGTCCTCAGTCGCAGCTGGCCGGAGATAAACATCTACTCTTTAGTGTGGACAATGTTTTTTGGATTTGATCATCTGTATATGAAGCCGAACCCGGCAGATGGGTCAGATTGCATTTGCTCACCATAAACGCTGAGCAGAATGCTCTTCTGGTCCTGCCCTGCTGAGTTGCTGGCAGTGCACACATATTGCCCCGCGTCTTCCAGCCTTGCTCGAGGCAGCTGCAACATCTGCCCACCTAAGATGCCGTATGTACATATGTGAAATTTGATATTACTGGCAAAAATCAGATCTCAAGGAAGGAAACGCTTCTGATATGAGAGAAGTATTTGGGTACTGTAAACAGCCTGGGGCTAACCTGGCAGAATATTTATGCCCGTGTTGAAGTGAAGGATCTGCCCGTCTCTGGTCCAGGTGATCTCAGGCGAAGGGTACGCTTGGACGTCACACAGCAATGACACCATGTGCCCCTCAATTACACTCACCTCCTCTTCTTTTGGCCCACTTATTCTAGGAGGCACTGTGAGACAATTATGGTGTTCACGGATCAGCATGTTCGCTTTCATGACAAACCATCTGATAACATTTTTAAGCACAAGAAATGATGATGAAAATCAGAAGTATACACACGAAGCGGTCTTTTACCTTGCACTGACAGACTGAAGAGCTTCTCAACTGTTCCCACCTTATTTTCAGCCACACATGCATAACCAGCCATGTCTGACACTTGAACGCTGAGGAGCTAAAGGTGCAGACATAAGTGTACTGAATCCTCTTGATGAATCTGGCCTCTCGCTGATAAAAAGTGTCTGTAAAAACTAACCTTTAGTTGTGTTCCTTCCTCACTGATGTGATGCTGTGAGTCTGTGCGCACCGGCTTACCATCCCTCAGCCAAGAAATGTCTGGAGTTGGGTGTCCAGTGGCATCGCAGTGTAGAACCACAGTGCTGTTGACCACTGCTCCCATTTCCTCCATAAACTCCTCAGAAGATCCCATAATAACAGGAGGGACTGCAGGGGTGGAAAATGAATCTGTGTTGTAGGATTTAATCATTTTACACGTGCAATTTATTGTTCAACTATTGTTGCTTACTGAGGATCTCCAATTCAAAATGCATGTGGTCCTCCCCTGCCTCATTTACAGCCTGACAGGTGTACTTTCCAGCATCACTCTGTTGCACTCGGGGTATCTGCAGCACTTGTCCTCCTGACAGGCGAATATGATTTCATCTATAAATGTGGAGTTCTGTTCATACAGAACAAACCAACGATGCTGTTCAAATCACAAAAGATTTCCCCAACCTGGAAGCAGCACTACTCCATCAGCAGAGGTAAGTTTATGGCCATCCTTGTACCAGCTGAGTTTGGGCGGGGGGATGGCATTACTCTCGCAGGATAGGCTGATTGAATGTCCCAGGACAACCTCTCGCTTCTCCACCATGCTGTCATTGCTCTCATCGCCTTCATGTCCCAGACCCCAGGCTGCTTCCCTATTAGTCACCCTTTGGAAGATCGGAGGAACTAGCAAGAAAACAGATACATCAGCAAAATGTTCAATTCAAGAATAAAAGCCTTGCTGTCGAAAAGATAAACAATGGCTTAAATTCGAACCAACATAGAACACCTTGAATGGTGACATGGAAGTCTCTTTTGTCCTCTCCTGCAGAGTTTGTGACCACACAGGTGTACTGCCCCTCATTGGACAATGTGGCATTCCTTATATGGAGGAAGTAACCACTTCCCTGAATGCCAGCATGGTTTCCAGTCAGCAACTATCCAACAACATGCACACAAAAGACAGATGTTAAAATGTGTGTGAGATATAACTCTAAGCTAATATAAGAGAAACAAGGCAGTGAATAAAAACAAGATATCTCAAACAAACTGAACATTTTTACAGTTAAGATTTTTAAACTATGGGATGTAGTATATTTTTTTGATATTTTAAAATGCAGCCCCCAACCTGGATTGACATAACATAATAAATATATAAGAAGTAATTTGTCTTACATCACCCCTCGTGTCACTTTCTAATTGAAATTGCTACTGCTCCTATGTAGAAACCCGACGGAATGAAAAATATTCTGCAGCACATTCACATACTCAGAGTAAGGTGCAGGTTGAGAAGGGAAAACATCTATCTTACAGGCTGAAGTTGTTTAATAACTGGATTCTTCTTGGATCTCTCTGCTATAATTAACTTGCTTACTCATCGCAGAAAATCTGGAGCGAGGAGGTGGCATGTGCTGGAGGAACTTTGTTCTGTGAAGGCTGTTGTACTTCATACTGGTTGCCAGTAGAGGCTGACAGAGTTTAGACTTTGTACCACAAAAAAATCACAGTCAAGACTTGTGGCTTTAGGCGAGCAAAGACTTATGAGGTTGAGACACTGACCTGTCCGTCTTTGAACCAGTGAACTTTAGGCTCAGGGAAGCCTTTGGCCAAGCAGGATAGAGTTAAACTTCCATTTATCCTTGTTTTCTCTTCTTGACTAGCAAGTGTGAAGGATGACGAGTCCCCTTCTATCTGTGGTGGGACTAGCCAAACAACAAACAGCAGTACAAAACAACAGTAAAGCATATACCAAATTTGTCTTGCGTATAGGATGTTCACAGTAGCTTAAACGTGCCTTACCCAGGACACTGAGAGAATAGTGCTTGAAGGCTGTGCCGGCTGGATTTGTGGCTCTGCAGGTGTAAAGGCCGTTGCTGTCTCCCTGGGCTGAGCCCAGTCGCAGGGCCTGCCCTCCCTGAGTGTAGGTCAGCTGTGGAGTGGACACGATGGGTTGATTGTCCTTTAGCCACATGATACTGGGTGTAGGTGAGCCCACAGTATCACAGGGGAGGACCGTGGGGAAACCCAGCACCACTGACACCTCTAAGGTCTCGTTCACCCCCTTGATGGTGGGTGGAGCTGCAGCAAAAGACAGTATAAATATCAAACAGCCAGTCAGGTTTCTACAGTCCATGAATACATCCTGTTTTATACAGGAGGCTCTAACGGAGAAACGTGCATGCTTTTTAGGCAACAGAGAAATCTCTTAAGAGTCCCACAAAACAAATAAAGCATCTGTAGAGGTTGTGCTTAGTCACATTCTTATTCACACATGCATTTGAATATTATTTTTGCGTATTTTACGATGCTTAAAAACATCGAGTCGGTTAGGTGTATGGCGAGTGTCGTAAATGAAAAAAAACAACTAAAGACCTTGCACTCTGAGCCTGAACTGGCGCATCTGAGTTCCTGCACTGTTCCTGGCCAGACATTGGTAAAGCCCCTGGTCCCTCAATCTGACCGATTTCACCTTCAACAGCTGGCCATCCTCCAGAAACTCCACATGGGGGTCTCCATCACGGGAGAGAACCCTGACGAGCAAAGGAAGAACATATGACCAGATAAATACAATGAATGGTCTGTTATGCGTGTTCTTCTGAACGTGGAATGAGTCAGCTCTGAGTGATGCCTACTCTCCGTCGCGGCTCCATTCCACTCTGGGCGCTGGTCGTCCACTGACCCGACACTGGAACTCCACCTCCTGGCCCTGCACCACAGTTACCTCCTGCAGTCGAGATGTTCCTGAGATCACTGGTGGAGCTGGGAAACACATCAGACATCCATTGACTTGTTTACTTTTAAGAGTTTATAAACTGTGGAAAATGCCAAATGACATCATTTCGATTTCAAACTCCAAACCACCATTGTACAAAAATATTTGCAACAGTTATTCATTGCATCACCGTTTCATCTTAGTCACTTAGATGCAACAGTAATGCAATAAGTTTGCCGAATGAAATATTATTTTTTATGTTGTAATGCGTTCTTTCTCTCCTCTCATTTGACTTATTTGGACAATAAAAGATGGTTCTCACCCTGCACAATTATGTTAAACTCTCTCCTTGCTTCTCCAGCTGAGTTTCCAGCTGTGCAGGCAAATTGTCCTGCGTGTTCAGGCTGAACTCTGTAGATTCTGAGCAGCCTATTCCCGTTCTGCAGATACACTCCGGGACTGTCCACCTGGATGAAAGTGATCAATTTGTAAATCTTCTTTTTTTTTTTGGTACTGTCATTGAAACCATAGCCACTTGGTGGCATTGTACATCTACTTGTGACACACTCACAGGGTGACCGTCTTTACTCCAGGTTATTGCTGGAGAAGGGATTCCAAAGGCATCACAGCCAAGAGTGAGGGGCTGCTTCAAGGTGACGGTGAGGTTTAGCGGCTGGCCGTCATCCTGAATCTCCGGAGGAACTAACACACAACAAAAGGAAAGTTGGTTTTTGTGTGTGGGCCATATGGCTGCACCGTGTACATTGTTAACCGATCAGAAAATATCTGTAAATCTGTAAAAAAGTTCTCACCGTTTACTTTTAGCCGCGTCTTTCGCTCCGCAGAGCCTGCCTCATTGGTTACCACACACTTAAAGTCCCCACTGTGGCTGGCAGATGCTGTGCTAATTACCAGAGCTCCATCCCTCGCCACCGAAAACTCTGCCTGTTCAGAATGTATCTCCAGGCCATTCTTGAACCAGCGTACCTTGGGACGTGGGGAACCTTCAGATGTAAGGACAAAAGAAGGATTCTGATTGAGTACAGATAGCTTTATTGACTGCGTCTGACAAAGAAAGCAGTTCCATCCATCTCTGACTCTCTCTACAGGAGAACTTATATGGCAAACAGCCCAGACTACAGAAGGCCAGCTCCTCAGTTATCGTCAGGACAGCAGGGAGGGCTGTGCCAAAAGAGTTAGAGCCCCTTGTAGCCTACAGACATAAGATTCCAAGGTCACTGTCACATAAAAAGTAAAAACACAGTATACTGAGTAATGTGAGATGCAATATTTAGGACATGGGCCTCAAGATTTATCACCAAACAGCAAAATGAAAGTCTTGGGCTGTAGGGAAAGCAGTGGCTGAACAAGCAGTTCAAAGGCACCAGTGAATTAACTCTGGAGCCTGAAACAGGTGTTGTGCTCCCTGGATTACTGGTTGAAAGAGACCTGGAAGTGGTCATCGGGAGGTTGCTGGAAAGGGGAAAACGAGAAAGATTTTGTATCTAACACGATGACAATACCCGACCCAGAAAAAAAAAAAAAAAGTGGTTAACGGAGCTGCGTGCTAGAGGAAGCACAGCTCTGTCACCCACAGAGGTGTTAAACGCAAACGTTACAGAAGTGACGGGAAATCAAACACTGCATGTTTAACCAACCCGCAAGATGCTAACGAAAGGAGAGCAGGAGAACCTTAGGTGGCGTTATCTGGTGTTGCTTCTCTGGACACATGTTTACAGTTAAACAGCTCTGTGGCAAATTTATTATCTCATTGCTGGGAGGAAGTCCATACAGATGGACCTTTTTTTTTTTTGCTTGGGATAAAAGTCAGTGATTATGTCTTCCATGTGTTTCCCAAATAATTACCTCCGTCAAATGAAAGGTGCTAACATCCCTCTGACAGAGACTTGATTTATCTCACTCAAACAGAGCCATGTCAAGAGAACACTAAAGTGGGGGTATCGTTGTTGTTTCGGACTCTAACTGCCTCTCCACAGTGGGATTTCTCCATGTGCCCTCTGAAGCGTTGTGCACTGCCTGGTTGTTTGGTCTGGGTGAAGGAGGGCGAGTTTCGCCTTCACACTCCTCTTCCTCTGCTTCATAGTGGAGCTCAGACATCTCTGTTCTTTATCTGCCAACAGCAGCCTGTAATTAGGATTCCTCTCCCAGCAGGCCGTGGCGCAGAGGAAAGCAGATGTGGCTCACTGCGGCAGCAGGCAGACTGATGTTCCAGCTGTTGCTCCACGTTAGACACAGTTCTCACCTTCTATCAGTGAGGTGGTTTCCATGGAACAACTCCACACAAACATTTCCTGCTTGCATGGGCTTTGTGAGAGCAAGTGTCCGTCAGCATCCACAGACCGGCTGTGCTTTTGATGGAACAGCTAATTCAAAGCACAGCACCTTTATGCCGTACAAACACACACTCATGTGGTACATTGAAGTATTTTTCGCTCACAAAAATCATCATAAAAAAGGAGGCGTCACCCGCTGGCTCTAAAACATTCAGTCGCGGCCGGTTAATTTCACCTTAGCAGTCTAACGTCTCCGTGAGTTATGTCTTACCTTCTGCACGGCAAGGGATGATCACCTTGCTTTTTGCCGTTTTCTCCATGATGGTATCTCCAGGTTCTACAAAGGATGGTGCTTCTGTGGGGACAAATTACAGATTAAATGTTATTTTAAAGGGCAACCGGCAACTGCTGAGCATTGTAACAATAAGACAAAGAGCCTCACATCACATTACATTTAGTAGTTTCTAATCTCTAATGCACTCTGTGGTCATCAAACACTCTGTAACAGAAGGTAGAGCATCGGCTGACAAGTTGAACTCCGATTAATGATTTAAATTAGCCAGGTATTTAGATTTTACAAGAGAGCTAAAAACAAAGTAGTCCGACAAGCAGAAAACAGGCATGAAAATAACATCCTGAGCCAGAAAAAGCCAGAGAGAACATCACGTCCAAAAGAATTAGTTCAAGCACAATTATTCTCAACGAAAAACACTCTGAAATCTTAATAGAGAAAGCAACAAAAGCAGCTACAACAGTTAAATCCCTTTGAGAGCTGCACACATGCCCACTCATACTCTTGCATTAGAGCTTGTTTGCAGTTTACAACAAGGAAATGATTTAGTGAGGACTGAGAATGAGCCAGTGGCATCTTGATATCAAAGGTGCATAAGTGATCTGACGATTAAAGGACGCTTCACACTGAAACCTTTTCTACACTCATAAACCAACAGGTTTACCGGGCCACTTATTGTCCCTCATATCAGCTTGTCAAAAGGCTGAACAATTTCTAAAATGTCATCCCTGAGCATGTTTCACCCCCATCCAAATGCTTGTTTTTTCTAGTATAAGCTGACTGAAAATGCACACAGTGCAAGTGTTTCCCTCTTTGTGACAGTCTATAAAATTTAGGGGGGAAAAAATTCAAGTATTTTTCTGGGTATTTTTAAAGTCATAAAACAGGGTCTGAAAACTTGAAGTTGGGATAATCACCAAGAATTTCCAGCTTGATCTCCAAGATCTCCTGTCCAGCACTGTTCTTGGCCACACAGCGATAGACTCCATGATCAGCAAGGCTGACTCGCTGGATCCTCAGAGGCGTGATGTTCTTTAGGCCAACGGGCTGTCCGTTGTGAAACCAGCTGATCTCTGGACTCGGCTCTCCTTGCACCACACAAGGCAGACTCACTGTTTGGCCAAGAAGAGCCTTCAGAAGTGTGGGTGCAGGCTGAATCCTGGGCTTAGCTGAGAAGAGAAAGAAAAATATTCAGAACGTTTAAGTTGTCATTTAAGTCAGTTAGAGCTCTTTACAAGAAAGCATTTCAAAAACTGTGCTTCGTGCTTTACAGAACATTCAATTTACTAATGAAGCCCCATAAATTTTACCTTGAACATGTAAAGTGTAGCTCAGGGACACATTGCCAGCTGGGTTTTCTGCAGTACAGGTGTACAGTTTACTGTCCATCAGGCGGACATCAGTGATCTTCAGAGAACCTGAAGGCAAAACTGTGAACCTGGGGAGTGGTAAAAGCAAAGAAATGAGGAAGACGTTAATACTCTATAAGCCGATAAACAGTAAAATATTCATTAAGAGTGACTTATAATGTTTATTTTCCTTTATATGGATTTTGCTGGGATGTAAATGCAAAACAAGCATGACAGAGTGCGGTGGGGGCACATGCGTTGAACCTTGTTGTCCATCACTAGGTTTTGTTCAGCTGTGTTGTTGTATTGTGCAGATGAAGTAGGGACACAGATCCCTTTGGTCAAACAGTCAAGAGCAATTTAAGCCAGTTTCAGGCTGGTCCTGCTGATCTCCCCAGTGAGCTGCCACGTACACAGTTACTATTGTAGCAGCAGTCACAGTTTAAAAGTATAAGATGAGTCTGACCTGATGATATCACACCAGGAAAGCTCACAGATCCAAAAGGATCCCTGCCAGTCCTACAGGGAACAATCATTTGTGTAACTGTGTTTATGTCCCTAAGGGGCAGCAAATGGAGACATTTTGAAAATCAAAAGAGTTTCTAAATTGTGGGACTGGAATGCAAGGTGAGGCAGGATGATCAGTACTTTGTCCCTTGGAAAATAAACATGTGCAAATAAAGGTTTGTGCACAACCTTTTCTTGTGGATGTTTGTCTCTGACAAATAAGAGGACAGGAGGTGGCAATGGCATACACCAAACTCCACCCATAAAAGAATGCTTTGTGGCAAAAACAACAGCAGCAATAAAGTGCAGGTAAAAGTAAGATGCAGTTCTATGATATTAAAAGAATATGCGGTATAAAAAAAGTACCAAAGGCTGCGCAGCTGTGTAAAAGCATTAGATGCTGTAAAGTAAACAAACCTCTGTAATTTATCTTAGATAAGTGTGTCTGCTAAGCAACCGAATTATAACAATAACATGTTCGCATAAGTGGAAACGGGCTGGAAGCACAAAGAGCTCTCTATTTCGGCTGCCCATATGGTGCAAAGTCACTCCCCCACCCCCTCAAACAGCCAAAGGAGAGGCAGCGAAATCCAACATTAGAACCAAATGACTGCCTCGGCACTGGTCAGCCGGTGCTCCGACTGCAGCTCTGCTGCTTGGCAGCAACTCACACTCGCAGGACTAGAACCACCCCTCTGTCTCATCCATCACTCCTCGGCCTGGTGTCAAGTCATCTGTGTACACACAGTTTGGCACAAAGACTAACTGAGACAAACTGGCCTCATCAGGATTAGCTAGGGAATGAACACATCAACGAACCCCAGAGTTGGATTTCTCCGGGTCTTCCCTAACTCATGTCAGGCCTTTTGCCTCACACGGCCGAACACACATACAGTACGTACATCCAAGAGATTTGGCCGCCCACTCGTTCAAGTTATTTCACCAATCAGCACTCCTTGGCCATTTCCTTTGACCCAAAGTGTGTAGACGGAGAGAATGAATCTTGCGTTACATGCCTTGCCTGTTTCCATTGGTCTGGCATATGCAAAGCGAGGGATGCGGGGGTCGTTCACAGAGATGTGTTATTCTCATCAGACATGACTAGTAAAGAGTCAGCATGTTGTTTTACTGCTCCAACACCCCGGGGAATCCGAACATCAGGCAGACACGGCTTGTATCTCTTTTTCTGTCAGTTCATATTCCTCCCCTCTTCCTGGCATCCCCCCCCACTCCACCCCCACTATTTCCTTCTTCCTGGCCCCACACAAGTCATACAGTATCTGAGTCACCACAGTTTTCAGCTCCTCTGCCATTCTTCCATCTCCCCTGCACCAGTCTGTTTGGTGTCTGTCTACGAGTTTATTTGCAATCTACCCGGTATGTGTCTCTTGTCAGTCAGCCTGTCTGCACCTACAGTGACCACACATGAAAGGAACAGAAAATCAGGCCGTGTGGGACCAGATGTTTCTCCTCAGTTTAGTGGGAGTTCATTTCAGCTTAGTGTGAGTCTGCCTTATCCGAACCGTCCTTTGAATTGCCTCTCTAATAAACATGAGCAGCAGCTTGGAGTGTCAGCCAGTCTGAGCCTGAGTCTCTTGTAAAACCAGAGTGAAATATTGGCTTGTTCAGCTCAATGGTATTGGTGAAAAATTGCGTTATTAGTCGCTGGACGTTTAATATATTGCACACTGGTGGACAGATTAAGCTCATACTTTCTCTTACCCAGCTGTTACGGGGGGGATGGGATGCCCGTTCCGGCTCCATGTGATAAGTGGGGAGGGAGTTCCTTCGGCTTCACAGGGGAGAACAATCTCTGCCCCCACTTCTGCTGCCATCTTTACAGTGTTGTCATGGCCGCTCACGCCCATTATCTTCGGCATTACTTCAAAAGAAATAAAAGAGAAAACACTTTTGCTCTGAACACTTTTACGAACTGAGGTTTTGTGTGAAATCTCAACATTTTTAGTGGCCTGTTGATAGTTCATTTGACTTACCGTTGACGCTGAGCTGGATTTCTCGACTGGCGTAGCCCACAGGGCTGGTGGCGGTGCAGACGTAAATGCCTGCATTGTCAGCAGTGGGGTGGGAAATGTGGAGGTGTCCCTCAGAGTCAAACTGAAGAGATGAGTGGTCCCTGGACAGAAGCTGCCTTCCCTGGTAGAATAGCAGGAGTTAGATCAAGTTTAATGTCCACGGTAAAAGCTCACCACACAACAGCTACGTTTGAAGTGTCTAACCCAGGCTTTGATTTCTAATGTCATTACAGAACACTCCTCAAATCTCTCTCTATCTGGAGTATGCACACAAAAAAGCAGCCTTCCGTACAGGCATTGCTTTGAACATAAAAGTACTTTAACAGATTCACTTTTATCTTACGAGAAAATAAATTCACTTGCCTTGAGAGGAACTCTCTGAAAAAGTAGAGGAAAGGTAAGGCAGCAGACCTGGCTCTGTTCAGTAAAATGTTGGATACAATGGTTTGCTGACCGTGCTCACAACAATGCAGAATAATCACTCATATTTATTTGTGCTTATGTGCTATATCTCTCATATCTAATCTTGTGTCTGGATTTGAAAGGATCTTTACACTTCCATAAATAACCCTGTGGAATAACGACTGCTTTTGGAAAAGCCAATCATCTGAATGGTTGCATGGTTTTCATCTTCAGAGCACTCAAGTTTTTCCTCTTATGATATGTTGAAGCATTGTACTGAACGTTTCAAATAGATTTCCGAAGTACAATAGAATGCTTTGTGAAATTGCATATTTAAGCAGCAATGGTTAACGCTCCCATAGATGTAGAATGTTTCAAATGGAGAAACTGACTGAATGTGTCAAAGTAAAGAAAAAACACTGCATTCATAATCTTTGATCAACTGATCCAAATGGATGCCAAGTGGGATTCTCAATGGTTAAAGCAGTGGGAAATAGAAGGAGCCAATTAGGCATGCATGAGGTATGCCGTCACAGAATAAGGTTTGTGAGAGTAACTTCCTACCTTGGACCAGACAACATCTGGCTTGGGAACTCCAGTGGCCTCACATGACAGCGTGATGGCAACACCCTCATTGGCTATGTAGTGGTATGGGCCAGCATTGATCTCTGGGGGCACTGTGGAGGAAGTAGGCTGTAAAACACAGCTGCCTGACAAACTGAGGAAATTATCCACGGCACTGTCACTGACCACGGCCGGCAAGAAATATCAGAATTTGAAGCATGTCTTCATTAGAAACTGATGAAAAACCTTAATCTGGCTTGTCTGTCAACAGCTGCCAACAAACAAAATCACACCATTCTACTGTTCATGCATTAAGTTAACCAACAGCTATTTCCCCAATAATTGATGTATTACTATTTTCTATGATGAATCAGCTACTTTTCTTGGCCGTCCAAATCCCATTCATCCAAACTAGGGTTTAGTAACTGAAAAGGGACTCGTTTGTCACTATGTGGGGTTTCATGTTGAATGCAAAGGTTGAAAATGAAAACAAAATTTAGTAAAGGTTGTTATTATTGGCTCCAAACCTTTTTTTTTCTTTTCTGCTTAGTTCATACCTCAACTCCAGGTTTTTACACCAAAATAATTAATTGAGTACGGGATGTAGTTATTCTCTCATACCGTGGACCTCCAGGCTGACGGTGATGTTTGTGGAGCCTGCTACATTCACCGCAGTGCAGACATAAGTTCCAGTGTCTTCTGGGATAGCTCTTTCTATGTACAAACTGCCATCACTCCTCAAGAACATCCTTCTATTTAGCTGAACCTGTCCAAACAAGAAAATGATGTTCCAAAAAGAGCAACAGATATTATCCTTGTAACAGATGTATTTCATGACAGCCTGACTTACAGGTTTTCCATTTTGGGACCAGTTTCTTTCCGGAAGAGGTATTCCTTCCAACAGCATACATGGGATGCTAAGGGACTGACCAATGCCAGTGGTGATGATTGGAGCAGTTTTGGCTAAGAGAGGAGGCTCTGCAAAAGTAGGAAGTGTAAAGATGAAAATCACTTACAGTAGGGAGAATTCTCAGTAAGATTTGGAATGGCACCACTATAATACAAATACAATACACAAGCTGGACGGGATCACAAAAAACTGACAAGCCTACCCAGTCCAGTGACACTAACTCTGGCCTCGGTTTTGATGCTTCCAAACTGGTTCTTGGCCTCACAGATGTATAGACCTTCATCATCCAGCCAAACACCTGCAGCATAGCACACATCAGTAGAAACACATGTGCAACGGGACTGTCTCCCCACTCAGCAAAAGAGAGAAAACGGTTTCTGTGGAATATTAAGTCTGTGGCATTAGCAGTCAGGACCCCTAAAAAAATAGTATTTATCACTGGTTTGACCACCCTGTAATTATGAGGTGAAAATAGAAAATTGTAGGATTTATAGGTTTGGATCAGTTGCTGGTCAACTGATACACGCAGCCTGCTCAGTGATTGCCCTGAAGATCCAATGTGGGAAGATGAACCTATAATTCAGTTCTTACGTCAAGCTAGTCTGGCCGGTCTAATAATAGGCAAAAAAAGACATACTCTGTTACACTTACAACATGAAGAGAATGACTGTGAGGGTTGGTAGATTTACACATTACACAATGTGGAAAAAGGCCTCTTCTAAAACAATGAGAGGGAAAAAAAACTAATCCATCTGCAACATACTGGGCTCATTAGGTCAGACAGCAGCCACAAATGTAAACAGTGACAGAAGTAGACCATGAAAATATGTCCATTCTGCTATAAACATTTAATCTCAGGGGCACAAAGGAGAGCAGTGCCACAGCTAAACATATTTTAGAGCGACTCACAACACGTTTTAACTTTGCCCTGTTAAGGTGCCTCACGCAAAAAGGAAATCTGCTCTTCCAGAATGATTCTAATAGTAGCTTATGCTACGTGAAGAAAAACCTCTTTCACCGAGTTCCACCGAGGGAAGACGAATCAAGTCAGACAAGAAATCCAACACCTATTTTTAATGAGTTAATTTGAGCCTAGAGCTCACGAGGGAACACTCTGACAGAGAGGAAAGCGTTACCAAGCAGGTAAACACATTTATATCTACAGTACGTAATATGTTCCCAAGATCACAAAGATAATATGAAACACTGGAAAGATAAAAAGTGGATGAATGAAGCCATGAAAGCAGTTATTACAGAAACATAAAGTGATTAAGGAAATGTTAGTATATAAATATATATCTATATATGTATATATACAGTATATGTTGTTGGAAGGATACCTTCAAGTTATCTTTACATTGTAACTCAACCTCATGCAATAACATCCTGTTGCCTCCCTCCCTTAAGAAAATGTTAGTAGAATCTGGTATGAAAGGCTGCACCTCTTCTATTAATACTTATTTGAAAGTTTGGCCTGTGCCAGTCAGTGCATGTAAATCATGAGGCTCCTTTAGCCGCCTTTGAACTCCGGTGTTTCTGACTGCGATAGTGTTTCACAGCCAACTCACTCTGGATTAGAAGATGTCCGTTCTCCATCTGAGCTGCTCTGCCGCGGCTGTCTGCCCTCGCATGAATTTGCCTGCCGTCCTGTCTGTGCCAGGTTACTGTTGGCAGCGGGAGGCCTCGGGCGATGCAGGGGAGGGTGATGTTCTCTCCAACGTTAGCTGTCACGTCGACTGGTGCCTCAGAGAACAACGGGCCCGCTGGGGAAGTGTGAGAGTTACAGGATGTGTTTTCCTTTGTGCGACTGTGAGTGAGACAAAAATGCACGTTTCATGCAGAACTCTGATGCGTGGTCTCACCTCCAACCTCCAGCATGACAGAGCCGGCCGAGGTTCCAGCAGGGCTGCTAGCTATACAGCTGTACTGGCCAGCGTCAACCTCCTGCACTTTAGGAATGTGCAAAGTTCCACGGTGCACGTCCTGCTGCGCAAAGGGAGCAGATCCCACTTCAAGCTCACCTGGAAACACATGCAAAGTAAGACTGCTGACCTGTAACAAGGCATGTCCACACTGTGCTTGGCCTTAACTTACCTTTGAACCAGTGGACAAGGGGAGGAGGAACACCTGTGGCTTTACACTCCAGAGTGGCATCACTACCAACAGATACGAGGACAACCTGCTGGGCAACTTTAATCCGTGGCATCTCTAAGGAAGAGAAGCAATTCCTATTTTTAATCTTAGCTAATTACTACATCTTTTTTAGAGAGATAAATATCAAAACATGAGCAATTTAGTGCTGCCATTAAACCTATAAAAGGACTTATCTTCCTTTAAAGTCGCTCACGGCTTTGACAAATCAGTGTTGTTAAAAATGATATTCAGGGGCAAAAGTGTGTATGATAGTGTCTTAGTGTTAAGGTTTCTGTCAAGCACTCACAGAACAAGGAAAGGAAATATGCCACAGAGTGAGACAGAGCACCATGTGCCTAAACTCTGCCTGAATAAATCCCCAAATAACAAAAATGGTTCCAGCAACAGCTCACCTTCCAACTGGCATGATCAACGTGTGCTGATTACCTGCATAAGTTAGTGACACAGACTGGGAGTCAGTCCCAGCCTGATTGGTAGCCAGACAAGTGTAGATCCCAGCATCCTCTGGAAGAGCTCCCCTAATGGTCAGGACTCCGAACTGGTTTAGATTGAACCTGCATCATAAAATCAGCTGAATAAATGTTTTCCTTGGCACTGTGCACTATATTTAGAGAAGTGAAATTCTTAAAATCTTTCTCCTATTTGGTCTCATGGGGTAGATAATTCTTTTCAATAATGGATTTAGACAGAGGGGTATAACATGTATTTATCAGTAGATTCAACTGTCCTGAGCCACACAAACAATACTTGGTAATTTTGGATGTAGTAAAAGCAGAATGCGGCGGTTCGCAGAGTCCTCTGAGCCGGAGGTGCTGAGTGGGCTGAGAGTTCCCTTACCTCGGCCGATTAGCAAGGAACATGTTTCCATGGCTCCAGAAGAGCTGGGGAGGGGGGGAGCCAGACGCCGAGCAGACTAAGCGGATCTCATCGCCTCGGGAGAATGCCTGGGTCTGGGGGTGAACTACTACAGAAGGAGCCTCTGTAATTGAAGTAAAACACAAGCAAAAAAAGGCCTGATGATGACTCGAGGCCAGCATGATGTCATTTATAACATCCTTATCACAGGAATTAACAACAGCAAACTTGATGTAATTACCAAGCCTTAAAAGTCTGACATCATCATTTTGTGAGGACAAGTTTTGGATTTATTTTCCTGTTTTTCCAAACTGGTTGCACACACACATGAAGGCATGGCAACAACGAAAGCCAAATTTTATCGAGCATTTCTTTTTAGCCGTGTGAGATTTTTTGTTTTTTTGTTCTGTCCGTACAGGAAGTGGCTCACTGTGACTGAGAGGAGGTAAGGCAGTAATGGAAACCAGATGACGGGGGCCTGAGAGGATCCACGGGGCCACGGTGTGTTTAAGCGTTTGAGCAGATGATCCACAGGGTATCCCGACGTACCTGGGACCAAAAGCCACACTGCGATTCGGCCGTCTCCGTGCGCGTTGGTGGCCACACAGTGGTACTCTCCGGCGTCCTGAGTCCGAATCCCGCTGATCTGCAGGGACGAGTCGGGAAGCACCCTCACCCTCCCCGTGCGGGTCCGGATGGCACGACCCGCTCGATACCAGGTCAAGTTGTGCCGCATGCTGCCTTCCACCTTACAGGACAGCACGGCCACGCCTCCCGCAGAGGAAGTCACATTCACGGCGGGCCTCAGGACCGGAGGAGGCTCTGTTTTTTTGTGGAAACACAACCAAAACACAAAGCCGGGCTTATCGGCGGTGAGCAAACAGAACAGAAATAGTTTACCTTTCAAACTAAATGTTTGTTCTGGCATGCTTTGCATCGGGTTGATGTTTTATAAATGAAGCGGCAGTAAAAAAAAAATAAAAAAAAAAGTCTGGAACATATTTCAAAGATTTTGCCAGGACAGCGAAACAAATGCGGCGGTGTGTGCTTACACCGTTTTCCTGTGTGCCGACATACCTTGAACGGTGAGCTGTGTTAGGGCCCGTCCCTGTCCCGCGCTGCTCTGGGCTATGCACTCGTACGCACCGTCGTCCTCACCTGACACCTGTGCAATCTTCCAGGATGCTGCAGCAGAATTCCTGAGACAATGACAAGTCTGGTTGGCTACAATCCAGAAAAACTATTCATTTACATCACAGTCAGCTAGAATCCCCGGTACACACGTCGGTTTTTCCCAAGAGTCGGCTACATGACAGGCATATATAATCCAAATTAAATTATCAACACCAGGAGAGAATAAGTGCTTTGTTCATTTTTCAAAATGCAAGAATTATGTATGGAGCGCTTACAAGATGTGCGTATTTCTTATTTGACAAGCAAGCCAAGAAAGAGTCAGGCAGCACAAACGCCTTAATTAGAGTCTTTAAAGTAGGTCATGAGGGCAAAGGGAGCTGCACATCAGAGACAAGTTGAGGAATGGCAGGTCAGAGAGAGGAAAGACTTACTGAAAGAGCTTCTCCTCTCCCAGTGCAATCCCACTTCTGGTGAATCTCAGCCTATAGGGAATGTCACTCTGCACTGAGCAGCCAATCACAGCCGGTTGCATGTAGAAGCCTTTTACCACATCAGGCATTCTCACAACTGGGGGATCTGCACGAGGGAAGGGAGCAGAGGTTACAATTTGTGGGGGAGATTGATGAGGTGTGAGAAACACTGCAGAGGGCCTTTGGTGAGATACGTCTGCAAGTGGGAGTGGGGGGTTTTACCTGGAATTATGTTGGTGTAGGAGACACTGGAAAGCCTCTGGAAGCGGAAGCCCTCCTCATCTTTGCCCGTTATCTTGATGTAGAAGCTCTGCGGAGGCGTGCGGAACTCTGGGAGACTCCATAGCCCTTGTTGGCCCAGGTCAGAGGGCAGAGGTACGGGGATAGTACGCAAGGAGCGGCCCGAACCGGACATGAGCTCCACATGACTCAGATAACCTGGAGGCTTCACGCCTGTGCATTTCAGCATTACATGGGTTGGAAGTCCTGAGAAGAAAAAAAAAAGAAAACGTTTGACATGAAGTTAATTTGAATCGTGTCAATTCAAACTGAAGAAGCTATTGAAAAAAACGCTGACACCTGTTATTGGTCTTTCTCTGGTGTGGTTGAACTCTGAAACTTGATGAGTGGAAAAGCCAGCCCGGAAGTCTAGATTGCTGACCCCTGTAACCCTCAGAGTATGACGCCCGCTGCAGCTCACCTTTACAAAGGAAGCAACAAAATTCACTTTGAGAAGGTTCCACGAAAAAGAAGAAAAAATTATGGATCATTCACGATGGGAATACCTTGAGTTTCCATGTTCCAGGTCTGGGAAACTTAAGGTTGATGACATGAGCAGAGTTGGGAATATTTAAGAGCTCTTTAAGGCCCTGCTCTACACCAACGATCCGACCTGGAGAAAAAAAGAGAGAAGAGAGATTATTCAGTGTGTAATATGTATTCTACTAAATGTAGGCAGAGATAATATTTAGAATTGGCAAGAATAGAGACAGCAAAAATGTGTGACTACCAAAGGGATCGCTGAGCTCGATTTGTGGCGCCGGTCCGCTGAGTGACACAGTGACCTCTCTGAGGCTGGGGTCAAAGGGCACTTCCCATTTGTTTTCCTGTGCACTGTCATGGTTGGAGGACAGCAGGTGGACTTTCATGGCCTGAACTGTCTGCTCTACCCACTTTAAAACCTGGCAAGAAAAAAAACAGCTTTACACAGTCAACAACAAAAGAAAAAAAAACAGATAGCAGGTCACGCTGAAGGAGCCACATTAGGGAGGAATTTGAGGCAAACAGAACTTCGAAACGGGGACAGGAAGGACCCGACTGTGGCCTGTCCCCGAAAACCCCCCGGCCCTTTCCCCTCCCTGCTCTTTGTCTTTTCTTTCATTACAAAAGTATTCCACAGCAGGCTTTTGGCTAAACAAAGGGAAAATGAAACAGCTCGGCTGTCAAACTGATAACATACAGTTTTCTGCACTCTCAAGCATATATTCCCAGAAGAGTATCTCTCACGGTGGAAGTTTGTCAGGCAGTAGTCTCGCTCCTGCGGCAACGCTTTCATGAATCATCCATGTTTTTCATCAGAAGAGAAAGCAGCGGTGGATGCGGGGGAGGGGAGATCATGTACATAAACTGAGGCATTAATCTGTATATTCACCGATATCAACCAGACGAAAGACCGTTTAGAAATTTAAATGGGTGGCCGTGTCCCAGTTTTCTGCTAAATGGCTCAATGTAGGAAGCCAGATGAGGTCAGATGGTGACACATTAAGACTGCATGAGGCTCATTTATTAGTCATTCCAACACTCCAAGCAAAGCTTACCCAAAGGCTGAAATAACTCCGGACAGGTTGATTACATTTAATGGTAAAAACAGTCATTACTTATGGTGTAAAGTCTGTTAGTGCCTCCCAGGAGACATATCTGAAAATATAGACTTTCAGTTTTGACAGCTGCTTGACCCTCCATGTATAATCATTATCATGGATTTGACTTCGAGTACAGTTTTCCTTTTGTTTTCTCTAAAATGAAAACAGAAGATGCAAGAGCTGTTAACATTTCCTATCATCTCGTTTCAGTGGCCACAAAAGACCGAATGTCTTTAATCTTTCAGATGCTTAACAAGTAACTGCTGTCCGGCATTTGTTTTGACCTCATGGAATGAGGCATTATGGTTGCGCATTGTCTGCAAAGAAACAAACCGAGCATATTTTCTCATTTTTGGCCTTTGAAGACATAGCCAGCAGCAACACATTTCAAGACATTCGCCGAAAACGAAACAAGGAAAACCCTTAATTTGATCATCAATCCCCCACTTGTCCAACAGTTCCACTGAGCGCTGACAGCAGCTGGTCCCTCATCTTTTTACTGCTGGAAACAGCTGTAATGTGTGCCACATGTGCAGTCATCACCAGCAGAGCAGGAAACTACTAGGAAGTGACCTATATCTGCCCCAGGATAGTGTCTGTTTCTTATGCAAGATAGTAAAGAGGTGCGGGCATTAATCTGCTCTCAGAGAACAGATAAAAGGAGTTACAACACAGAGGTGGGATGACTTTGCTCTGGAAGAGCATGCTGGGTTCTACGGCCACTCCCTGTCTCCGGCACGGGGAATGCTGGGGATGTTAAGTCTTGTGAAACCCCATCCTGTGTGTCTCAGATGAACAGACTAGAGAGAGCCCTAACAGGAAGGACCCCCCTTTGCTTTTCATGGAAGTGTGACAGATGAGCCAGAGAAAGAGCGGTAGCAGGAGCGGGGGTGATCCTGAATTCCCTTAACTCATCCTAACTACTGGAATTTTTTCTACTGGAAGAGAAATATAATCGCGCTGCGGACCTCTCCAGACATCCCAGCGTGCAGGGGTCAGCTCAGTCTTTACTCAGGTTTAAACACTGCAACCGCAAATGTTGCTACAAGTAGAGCGGACTGGTACCAGAGAGAGCCCCTGCTTCTCGTCAGAGGTAGTCTCAACACTCAGAGGTTCAGGCTGTCATAAGTAAACCCTCACCGGGGGGGAGGTAGCTGCACCACAGAAGATTCATGTGTTCAGCACACTCAGGAGGACGACTGAAGACAAATGTTACCTAACTTCAATTTTATGCTTGACAACCATCAGCAACCCTCCTCGCTCCTGAGTTGACATAATGAGGAAACCGTAAGGTGACGCCATAAATGTCTCTTCATGGCCCTTACATTGAAGGAATGAGTGCCCTGGTAGACAGAGAAACAGAGCGGCCCAATCGTTCTCACTCCACCATCAGTCTGTTGTTGGATTAGTCTGTTAAGAGCAAATCTATCAATAGATAGTTCAGTAAATAGAATAGACCTGTTTCAAGAGAAGCATTTGCAGTTTTCTTACAATTTACAAAACTACAAAGGTATAAATTCATTGCTGAAATGTACAACTATCATTCAATAGCCAAGAAACCAAGCCACATAATAGGATTAGAGGACAAAACAAGTAGACCATTTGCTCCTTATACAACCCCTGCCTTTAGTAAGTACAAAAATGTGTATATTTTATTTGCCCATACACTATTGAAGGACTATTAAGTGGGGATATTTTGGTTAGATTTGCACAATTTCTGCGAGTTTTAGGGATTAAAGGATTTGCATTAATTTGGAAAAAGTATGCTACCCAAGAGGTATAATCGCACAGCACCATAATGCAACTGACAGTAACTTCATGAAAATCCCAGAATCAAATGACACGTTACGTTTATATGTTTATATGTAACTATATGCTACAGACATGGGAAAAATATTCTAGTCTACAGAAACTAATTAGGGGTTGGGGTGAGATCTAGACTGAATTCAGTCTCCCGTTATGACATCATAAAAAATAGATTCAAATTCATTTCAAACAGCTGACAGGATTACGGCGTGGCCAATGAGGTGCGCCACACATAGGCAGTGTAGGCTTCACTACAGAGTATGTAAGTATGACTTGACAGGAAACAGACCCACACACACACTCAAACACGTCTGAGTTCAGGGGTTCAGTGGGCCAGCGGTGCACGGAGCTACCCGGCCATCTCCTGTGTTGACACGCAGGATACCAGTGTCTCTTCCAGAGGAAACTCTGGCTTCTTTTACGTCTGCCTGGGAAGTGAGCCCCGCTGTCTTTGGCCCCTGAGATAGCGTTTCTGTTACATGCCGCTTCCGCTATAAAAGGCTCACTCAACCGTATCGTATGAACAGGAAGTTTAATATCAGCCCGGGAATCCTTTGATTGCAATGAATGGGATCGCTTTTATTACATCAGCAGGTCAGATAAGATTGCTCTGGCCGTCATCGTCTCCTGCCGTAGGAGATATACGAAGCTCTGAAAAGGTGGAGCGCTCCCGGCAAAATGTCTGTTACTAAAAATAGCCATGTTAAAAAAAGAGTGCCAGTTCTCAAAGAAGATGAAGAGGGGGATAGATGTCACTATTACCATAAGACGATCTCTTATCATATTCTTTACCAAAAAGGGGGAAAAAAGGAATAAAGATGATTCTTATTTCCTTCTTCTCCATATATATGATTACTCACTGGAGCCGAAACGTTGCAAACCTCTGAATCCGAATTTTGGAAAGGGGGCATAAAAAGCTCAATTCTTGTGATTGATCAAAGACGTTAGAAAAGTGACCAAGATTCCAGTCTGCTATGTTTCTTGTCTTTTGGGTAACAAGTGTGGCCTCAACTTGACACTAACCATTCCTTTTAGCTGTCATTTCTTAATTAGATCATGCACAGAGGAAAGAGTTCTGTAAAAAGCTTTATCTTCTTATATTCCTTATATTCTTTATGAGCTTCAGTTGCTTTGATTCTCAGAGACTAAGGCATCTCCTTGAAGAAGCTCGTTGCCTCTGAATGTTCAAGCGTGGAGGAAAGATTAAGGAGCCTGAGCATTAATAAACCCTTGAAATTTGCATCACTTTGTCTTCCCGTGGAGTCACAGGGAAGAAGCTTTAGTCCTTGTGAGCTCATAAATCTTGGTAAAAGTTACCTTTCACACAGATTTTTTTTTATATTGAAAATGTTTGAATGCAAAGAATAGAATCCATAAGCAAACAGCTAATGATTTAAATGAAAAAAGTGTGTCTCATATTTAAGTTTATACCCCTCCCCCCCAAACTTTTAGTTTACAGTGCACATATGGGTTTTACATCGTCTGGTTATGGTGACCGCAGTGCAGAGCTGTTACTCATGTTCTCACCTCATTAACCTGCTGCTTATCCAAGTGAAAGATTTGTCCAGAGGAGGTGGCAGCGATCTCCTCGTAGGCCCTGTAACCAGGGTGGGAGCGGTCCCCGCAGTCCCCGGTCAACACAAATACAACCTGATAGAAAAAGGCATAGAGAACAAAGAAGATTACCGTGGTTTGGTGTTTCCTTTCTTTTCGAGTTACAGAGCAACATTAATATTCATTGTCATGACTCATGTGATGAGTGGGACTGATATAACTCTTCCCTTGTCGTCTGAGTATTGAGAACTTCTCTGATGTAAATTTTTCAGTACCTGTCGTCGCATTCCTTTTCTAACAGGATGCATTAACACAGATAGCTTCAAATCTTTATAGACTGCAGCTCCCCGAAATTCAACCTAGTTCCTAATGACAATTAAGAGAATCCAACTCCAACTCCAGTCAGAGCTGACGAAAAGTTAGAGGATGGGTTTTATCTCAAATTACATTCTGTAGATTTGGCTGTCCATCGTGGTTGTTCTGAGCAGCCATGTTCCTTTTACCTGTAGTTTAAGAATCTATAATACTTGCTGCATCCCGTAAGATCCTGAAAAGCCTGTAAGAGTAACAGTCCGGTACCTGTGATTGACGGAGCTGCACCAGCTGTAGAACGTCTCTTTTCAGCCGGTAATCTTTGGCCCTGGCATCTGTAAAAACATAGATGAAGGATCCAGGCAGGGAAACCTCCAAGGCCTTCTTTATAGCTCCTATGCTCATCTCTGGGCAGTCGCCCCCGCCCTGTTTGATAGAAGCACATATCATGATAAAGAACTCTGAGAAGAAAGAGACTCTAAATATATTTTTCATTTTTTGTAAGAACTTATTTTATAATTGAAAGGTGCTGTAAAACTACGGTTTTTGAAAGAAGGCAAAGACCTATTCATGTTCATATTAAACCTACATATCCATCAAGAAACTTAAAAACAACAACACTTTGATCTATAACACTGATTGTCAAATCTACCTAAATCCCTTCATTGTTTGCTTTTGCTGCGGTGGCTGTGGAACTGAATTTGGGGGTTTTTGTCTCTCACCTGGACAAACAGCTCCTGCAGATCCTGCTGGAACTTCTTAGGTTCGGTGGTGATGGACACAGGCCCGATATCTAGGGGTTGGTAAGCACATCACATAGATCTGCAGCATAGGTTTGTTTTTCTTTGTTTTTTTCTTTTTAGACACACGTTAGCTCAGATTTTCAGTTCACTTCGCAAAATGAAACATAAGCACTCCAAACCAAAGAAAAGGGGCTGGTTAGTGTCCTTTTTTCGCAGCTTACCCTACACCATCAAATTCCCTGACCAGACAAATTTATGTGGACCTAATGATGCCCTGTGGTCAACTGAATCGCACACGCTGTTCAGACAACCTGCGTTCAGCTTCTGTCTTAAACAAATCCTTGAAATCTTGCCAACACTGTGGATGATGACAGATGAATTACTTTGTGCAGCTGTAGTGTGTATTTTCCATATGGATGCATTATCCAGGTCTCAAACAGCAGCACTGATATTCTCTGGGTCACTCAGTGAGACTGTAAACACTAAAATGCGTTATCCTCTATATGAAGCCTTTTTCTGCTGAAATATGAGACTTTTTTTTAATGATAGTTTCACCAGAGCACATCCTCATTAGCTGGAGTGGAACCTCAGGATTTTAGTGAGTCTGTGATTGTTATTTAAACCGTCGAAGAACATGTCGTCATATCTTGGTGAGGCTATTGATGCAGAGCTGGCAGACATGTGTCAGGCGGATGACACTCGGCGTTCATTTGCAATCTGGGGTCTTTCAAGTCCCCGTCTCCTCCTCGTGGGGGCCTGCATAACACTGACAGCACTGTCACTCTTCTTTGTTTGTCAGCCATTGAGGCTTTCTTTGTAATCTTGGAAGTTTACAAGGTTCCCAGGGGCAGGGCACATTAAACACAGACAGCATGTGTGGTGTTAGTCCTTGTCCCCACATGCTCCCCCCCAGGCCGGCTGAACCGGGGGGCTCTGAGGGTTTTCCGGTTTTCTGGAGGCTGAAGGAGGAGGGTGGATGTGTGTATGTGTGTATGTGTGTGTGTGTGTATGTGTGTGTGAGCAGGGGGTGATTGGGGTAATTACACACAAGCAGACAGCATATGCTTCTCATCAGTGCACAAACACCACTGGAGTACTCTTATTTTCAAGATGAAGCTTTTCACTCTGGCAGAAGGTAAAAGAAGCTTTACCTGCCTCTGATGACTCACTTGAAACTCTAATTTGGCTAATGTCTTGCATCAGTTTGGGTTAAATGTGCTGCCTCAAGAGAGTGGACTTCAAATGAAATTTCTAAGCACCAACACAGGGCAACTGTTGAGCAGCTTTTTTTTTCATAAGATAAACCGTTTCACTGACAGCTTCAGAAACCTTTTTTGTTGGTAAATAGGCCTAACACAAAAAATCTTACTTAAATACTTCCATTTACATATAAGAGCTCTACTATTATAAGACGTGGTCAGTTGAATTTGAACAGAAAGTACCTGGGTCGTGGAAGGGAACCAGGACAAAGTTTCTGATGGGTCTGGTCCTCCGGCTGAGCGTCTTCTCCAAAATCCGGGACGCTCCCTCTATCACCTGTTTCAGATCGTCGTACATGGAGCCGGTAACATCGAACACAAAGGCCAAGGTCGAGGCGCTGTCATCGGATTCATCCCCCTCCTCAACCCGGGGATGTACCAGGGGGTCTGCCCAAAGTCTGTGTGCGCTAAACAACAGCGCCAAGACGAGGCAATTCAATAAGGTACCGGACATTTTCCCCCCAGACTTACTGCATCTGTCAGCCGGAGAGAGGCGATTCACTAAAACAAATTATCCACAAAAAAAAAGAAAATAAAAAAAATAAAGAAATGTGTTGGATTTAAGTACTACTCAAACAAGTCTGGGGACGTTACCAGTACATAAAAAAAAATTGCAACGAAACGACTCGGGTAAAACACTTGAAAACCGAACTTAAAGAACTTCCCCAGAAGTACATCTGTGCGTAAAGTTTGGAGGAGCGCGCAGACTGGATGTGCGTTGGAGAGCCCCTGGAGAGCTGGTGCTCTGACGCTTCAAACGGGGGCGGAGATGGGTATTAAAAGGTTCCCGAGACCCAACATGATCGTGTGTGTGTGTGTGTGTATGTGTGTAACTCGACCCTGCAGTGACTTCGAGGCTTTAACCCTCTTCAACACTCCCACCTTCAATTAGATTTTTATCTTGTAGGGTCCTCCCCGAGACTCGGTTTTCAGCAACTTTACGCGCGTTGGAAAGGGGGTCTGCTGCCTGTATTTTGGACATGCCGACAACATTGTCTCAGTAACAGCCTTTTTATAAATAACCGTGGTTTAAGCTCAGCATGACACCAGTCTAATTTTATACATTGCCCACGCCGGGAGATAGCCCCTGCTATATGAATGCCTCTGTGCTTTTGCCCATCTGAACAGAAATGTTATTAATCCTTAAGAATTGGACTGGTCCTAATGGTGAACATGCAATCTCCTGCAAGAAGATACTTACATATTAGAGTAATTGTGAATATAAATATGTATATGTCTTACTTCATACTAAGTGTATAAAACACAGAATGTTCTTAAGACAAGAAACTGGTGCTTTACTTTGAAAGACAGGTGTTATATTGACATTTGTAGCACATGCTTTACATACAAAGAGAAAGAATGCAGCTAAAGGACATAACAGTCACCGGTCAAAGCTATGGACATTACCCCCTCTTTATATTACTTGCATCTGGCCTGGAGAAGAAAACATAAAGCATTTCGGAGCAAATCTAGTGAGCCACTGAACCTGTCAAAATATCACAAGTTTATGTAGTTCACTGTTTAGAACACAACGCTCAGGGTAGGTACACACACACACACAGGCTGTTGGCATGTTCGATTCTGTGCTGCAAAGCGTAACAGGCACTAGAGTTGGACAGGACAATTGAATTATTTGTGGGGCAGAACAATGCAATGCTGGACCTTGGATAGATTCCATTTTAATTGAATGAAGTCAGAGTCAGTGCAGGCTGAGATTGTTTTCATGAGATGTGATAATAATCAGAAATGTCAAAAATCGTTACAACTAAATACATGATCAACAGTTAAACAAAGCAGCCCCTTAAAATGAACCAAAACACAGGTATCTTAAAAAAAACTCTATTAAACACTGTTTTCTGTCCATTACAAAGTAATAGAAAATGCCAGCCACATAAATGCATTTTATTCTGTGCTCTTATACTGTTAAACAGATGAATGACATTAATAATTCAACAAATTATAACTTGCATAAGGCATAAAATATTAATGTAGCTGATAAAACATCTACACATTCTAAAATGAAGAATCCAAGTATGAAAAGAGGCATCATCACATGCTCAGGCTTCACACAGGACTAATACTAAGTAGACGATTACGACCACGGCGCCTGCAAAAGCTTTACAACCAGAGCTGATGTCTTGTTTGTGGTTCTCAATGACCAAGGGCTTTGTGGAGCCAAGGGACGGGTGCAATGCTTCAAAAGAAATACTCAGCCTCAATTCTGATGTAAAGCCGTGAGAATTGACTTTGTTGCTTGGTCGTGTTGTTCAGCATGGAACTGTGCAACAGGGCCAGCAATACTCTTAAGCTAATAGGGACACGGAAACATAACAGAGTGAACAGACTGTAAACATAGTAAAATAATCCATACAAAACTTTGTGCTACTCAAACATTCCTCTTCAAAAGAAACTTCTCTAATAAAAATCAAACCTCAGGATGGGAGAGGGACCAATAATAATCATGAAAAATACAGTGCAATACATTTTAACACTTCTGATAAAAATAAAACTTCATTCCATGTTTATGAGGAAAGTCTCATAAACGCAGTAAAGCAGAAAATAAATTACCATTGTATTTACATTATATAACACACATCATACTGCTTTGTAACTTAAAGTTATTTAGTGTTCATTTTATCTCCGTGTAACACATTTTGCACGACTGATATTCAAAGTCTCTCCATGTGGGGATGAAGGAGCGGCAGTCCCTCTGAGCAGTTTGTGTACATCCCAGGCTTTACAGCATGTGGACGAAACACACAGACATCCCTGTGGGAGTTCCGTTCCATGGACCGTCCAGTGGCAAAAGGCCTGCAGAGATGTTCAAATACAATCCACAATACTCACTGGTGTGCATGATGCGGCCGAGCTGCAGAAGCACAGATAAATGACTGGGGCTCCCGTCACGTCAGAGGACGTGTTAGTTCACCATCCTCACTGGAAATGTATCTGGACACAGAAGTTGGATGGCCGTGCGACAAAAGTTTGTGGTCCACTTCTGGGTGTTTAGGCTATATGAGACTTCAGCCCACGACGGTGTGATGGTGCCGCATCGGCGTGTGACGGGGAGGACGCTGAACTGGGCATCTGAGAAGTTGAAAAAATGGATAACCATTTGAATTTTATTCTACCTGGCTGTGCTCACAAGACGGCGGGCTACAGCTGTACAAAGCCATGCTAAGAATACATATGTCTTCACAAGCTCACTTCACAGTTGACAAACACTGAGCAGGATGTCAGCAACAATTGGCAGCAGCAGCCAGTGTATTAAATTAGATAGTGAGAGGAGGGGGCTTATCTCACTCTTCATTCAACACTGCCAGTAAACAAGTGGGCCATTTGAATAATTCATAAGAACAAAGTGAGAGCACAAAGTGGCTTCACCACATTAGGATCAGCACACTGACACTTTCCTCTTTACAGGCTTAGTTCTGACTAAATAAGAATTCAACTGTATTTAAATAGAGCTGGGCATGACCTGGGATTGAAAAATCAACCCCCAGCTGGGAGGCATGCATGTGCTCACTTGTTAATCCCCCACTCACCTTAAATTCCTACACCAGTCCATCATAGAGTGACAGTGCCTGAACAATAGAGGGGTCTGCCTTGGAACCTTCCTGAAACTCTTGCAGAGTCAGCTTCCCATCTGCATTCTGCAACAAGAAGCAAAATCACACGTTAACCTTGCAACATTTCACACTGAGTTACCAGCAGGGGGCAAAAGAGCCTCTTAGGCTGCATCCCGTAGCTGTTACTCAACGCTGACTGACTGGTCTTTGGTTCAGTTCTGTTTGAAAGCAGCCACAGATATTTCTAAGTGCTGGTGTTGGCAGTAGTGAGATGAGGGACAAACCAATGCAACTGTGTCTCATCTTTCACTTAAGCTGAGTAGGTTCTCATAGCCGGGTGAGTGGGCATGGAGAGCCGGTGGTGGTGGTGACTATAAGTGTTATTTACAGACTAAGGGCAGTGTTAGTGACGCTTAGATAGCTGCAGCTAACAGCTCTGAACTTAACAGAGCCCATATCAAGGCCCTGAGGGCGGCAATAAAGGAAGGCCCGGTCTCATTAATGGTAAACTGATGATTATTTCAGGATTTACGGCTACATAATCCTTTCATGTTGCAGCCTAAAAGGTCACTTCAAATGGTACATCATCCCATGCAGCTTTTATCTCTTTAGGGTCAATGCTAACCTTGTCCATCATAGCAAAAATACGGTCCACTCGTTTTTCTGGTGTGTTTTCTTCCTCTGGCAACTCCACAGTGTTTCCCTAAAATATAATGTAATCAAGACATCAGAGTACTCAAGTAATACACATCAATTAAAAAAAAGAAAGAAAAAAAACACCTTACCACCATCTGATATATGGCATCAACTATGTTTAACATCTCATCACGGGTTATGTAGCCATCATTGTCAAGATCATATAATTTAAAAGCCCCTGTGAAGAGAGAAACTTATTAAAATGATGTACCCTCACTGCAAGACAAAGAACGTTTGCAAGTGTTTATGTCGCCTGTGTGCAATGGTCAGGAAACTGCTGGGTTTTGGGTTTTTTGCCGCTGGTAATTCTTGAAATTAACTCTGATCCTTTTTTGTTGGCAGCTTCATGAAAGTGTTCCAGTTTGTTTTATAAGTAATGTCAGGTGTTGAAACCAAAATAAGGAGGACAAAAAAAGAAAGCTGCTTTTTCTTACATCTCAGTTTCTCGTCCAGGGTTCCCCGGGATGTCACAGACAAGGCCTGAATGAATTCAGAGAACTCTATGCGTCCATCCTAGCAGTGAAAGAAGGGAGAGGCAGAGTGAAGGGAAACCTGAGACAAAATGAGCACCTCACTTTACACTAGCTGTAACTGCACTTGCACAAACTTCCTTCATGTTTCTCCATGGTGTCCTGGCTGTATTCTCCTGAAAATTGGGACAGACGTTAGCTCAGAGAGCTTCTATTTTTGCCCCGAACCGGGCTCTCTCCTGAGGCTGAAATATGTCACCTCTGGTCATTAGTAAGATGGATGCGGTTGGCTCAGCTTCTAAAACCTACATTGCCCAAACAAAACCTCAATGCCTTGATACTATGTTTAAGATTTTCTTATCATTCCATGCCATTAATGGCTGTGACAAATAACTCAACAAAAGAAAAACGGCTACCAAAAATATAAACAAACTGATCTAACTAGCAGGACCGTCTAAGGCAACTGAATAAAATTCTTCTCACATCTAAAGTAAAACTAGTAGCTTTTAGAGAGGAAGCACTGCAGATAAATACATGTTCTGCCAGCGGAGCCATCGAGAGTTTGGTCAATTCACATTCTCATCAGATGTCTGTGGATTCTGTTGCATTACAAAGATTTTCCTACATTCCATCACAACAGCTGACTACAGGTAACCCCCGCTTGTCCTTGCTAATCTTTAAAAGAAACAACCATGCGCTCTTCAAGGCCCTCAGGGTCAGCTAACTTTATCTCTACCAGACGTCTGCTCTGCCAGAAAATGCTGAAGTCATGCATTGCCGATTACATAAGCTATAAAAACAGTTAAGATCAATGCATTCTTGAACAATGGGGTGCCTAACACTAATGAGGGTCATAGCTAAACATCTGACAGATCTTTCTGACACAAAGCCTCTTAGCTGAAGTCAATAAACCTGCAGGAGCTTACCAACATCCCGGGAGCTGCTCACCTATACTTTGTCTGCCTGAACACAATTTGAATAATGATGTCCAGCTGGAATGAGGGAGCTCTCTTGAGGCAAATGTAAAAAGTAACTAATGGGTCTTGTTAAAAATTTGCTTTTTCATCATATGCTGAAATAATTATGCTACAGATGTGGCCAAATACAAAAGACACGAGACTGATTCTAATAAAAATGTATGACTGTTACAGATTTAGACAATTAATAATAATCCTGTTGAGTCGTTTGTCATAAGTTATTTTCATATGTCTATAATCAGCATTCTGTTTAACCTTAAAACTTTTTAGTCTTTTCACAAAATCATTTATCACCTGAAGATTTGGAATTTGGTTTAGTTTTTTAGTTAAAATCATCGACAAAATATTCAGATGTCTGTTAGTGACCAATAATTGTTCACAACAGAGAAACCACTATCTGCAGAAAGGTCAGTTATGTGCAACAGAGCCCAATAGCATTCAATAACATTACTTTGGGTGCACATTTTGCCTTAGGCCCCTACGTCTTTAAAATTTCCTCAACAACCATCCTTCATCTAAAACGGTCCCAAATGAATAGTATAATGTATCCAAACCTGAGAACCAGCAGCTGTCAGTGCCAACAGCCAGCTCAAATTCCTTCTATTCTCAACAAGCTGACTAGGTTTTATCTAGCCTTTATCAATTTGTCTTCAGTTTGAAGGAACAAACACACCGACTACAAACCTTATTTTCATCGAAAACATTAAAGACAAATGAGGCGAACTTCGTGGGATCTCCAAAGGGAAAGAACTGTTTATATATCTTCTGAAAGCCCACAGCATCCAACTGCCCACTTGGACAATCCTTGATGAAGCCTTTGTACCTGAAAAATAAACCCAGATTAGAGATCTCTCAAGAAGAATGATGTCATCTGTATCATAACATAATAAGTAATAAACACAGGACTTGGCAAGCTGAATTCACCTCCTCACCTCCAGAGGAGTCAGTTTGAAAGAGTGCGCTGGATCAAAAAAGGAAAATGCAAAGCTATTTGTCTCTATCACAGATAAGACGATTTCCTTAATGAAACAGCCAGTCCAGGATGGTTAAGTGAAATGAAACTCCCCTCTGCTTAGGCTAATGTGCGTAGCTGATAGATAAGGGAAGGAGCTTCCTCTCCCCCCTGGAAATGACATATCTAAAGAAAGGCTTAACATCTTTATTAGCCTAAATAATATGAAAGCATTTCAAAAGCAATTTGTGGCCCAGTCACTCAAAGGCAGGCATGTTCCTGCCTTTCCTGGCATGTCTTTGTATGCCTTTCAAAGTCATTGTGGTATTTAACCAAGAGGTCATGACACAGTGTCAGCCTCTTCATCCACGAATGTGAAACGAGCAGTGAGAAAAATAACCAGTCAAAAAACAAGCAGCCACACTTATTGGAGCACAGTTTGTTCATCTGCATTTCAGTTAAGGCCATTCCAAATAAAGCCGGGCTTTAATTGAAGTCAGCGAGAGAGTGTTTTGATGAAAAACGAAGGCCAGTGCCGCGCTTTTTCATGCACATGCTGGCTCCTAACTCCCCTTAAACTCTTTACTTTTAATCAGCCCTGAAGATAAAGAAGGAAGCTCCATGTAGTCAAAAAGATAAGAAGCCGCTTTGAACAGCAGCTGGAAAAGAAAGTTCAGTGAGTGGAGAGGCGAGAAGACAGCAGAACCATGTAATTCTCACATTTGAATTATCAGGAGATATGCAGAAAAAATGAAAGCCTAACTCAATAAAATGCAGAGTTTATGTAATAGGTATTCAAAGAGAAAACACATAATACATAACATAATCCCAGTGACCCATTTCATCTGAAATCATTTTTAGGTATGAATTAAATTACATGAAATGAATATTCTCTAGAAATTGCATATATTTATGCAGGAACCATTTAGTAAAACTGTTAACCCATTGATTAAAAAAAAAAAACATTTTTCTCATTTAACTCAATTTTTTCAATAAATAGACCAATGATGCAGCTAAAAAAAGCAAAACACATGAAATGGATAGAAAATAACTGAACAGTCATCTGCACAATACTGTTGTGTCTTTGTTTTCCTCCAAATGGGACCGACAGATCATTTCAAACCGCTGTTTGAGTATGGATACGCTAAATGACACCGGGCCATCTGTTTTTGCTCAGCATCAAAATGTGATTTTGATTGAAGCGTATGCAAGTTGCGGTGGCATAAAGCTTCTCTGCATGCTTCAGTGCAGTAAAGAAAGGGTAAATGAATTTATCCAGATGAGGCAAACTAATATCACACACCACATTAAAATGCTGCACAGTCACCTCTATAAAGATGAAACCCATGCATGTTTAAAACCACGACACATGACAAAAAGAAGGCTTTTAAAAGGGCATTCCAACAATTTCAGATGCAACTCTGACGTTTCACCGCTTTAAAGAATTTTCAAGTCTGACAAATAAAAATGTCTATCTGATTTTTGTTTTCACATGTTAAATTCTCTCTTTAGAGGAGTAAAGTGATTACAATTACACGGATATTATTCAAGGCTAACGTTCAATGGTGAAATCGGCACCCCATGATGGACAGGCATAACACAATATCGCTTCTGAATGAGAACAAAATGTAGGTTGAGTCGGAAATAGCAAATAATTCAACAAATGGAACAAATGCATGCTAATTATGGAGTTCACAACCCAACTCGTCTTGGGGGAGAGGGGGATTTGCACTACAAGCAGTCTGAGAGCTTGAATTTCCTTCTTTTTTGAGCTGTAGACCTTGGAACCTTGTATTACTGTTGAGGGCAAGCCATACAAGCCACAGTTAGCGTACCATTCCACCATTCCACCACTGGCAGCCTGAGGGCACAACTCAAAACTGAGAACTTTTTTTTTAAGATACAATTACCCATGTCTGTCAGTTTAGTAGTGTGCCCCCTTGTGGCCAAAATGTCTTGTGGTAAAAAACAGTTTATTTTGACATATTATTATAACAATATCTTTTGGTCAATTCTTACACTAGACTTGCAAACGTTATACAAAAGAGAAGTGTGGCCTACAGGAAAGAGGGAATTCTACATTGAAGAATGAAAAAAGGGCATGTGTTAAAAGTATAAAAATACACATCGGCCTGTGTTGCTCTACATACACGTAAAGATCTGGCCCCTCTGTATTTATAGCTGAAACACAGGGAGTGCAGCACTTGGTAACACAAATAGACAACTTTAAAATACATTGTATTAATCTATTTGATGACACTTCCCTACTTTTAACACACACACACAGCTGTGGTGCAACTGAGATTCATTATTGTCCTTATCTATTTTTAACATTTTTAAATCTATGTCAATGTCATTTGTAATCTGTAGCTAAACTATTCCTTTTTTTTTTAAATATGCAGATTAGTAAATTTAAATGTATGAATATGTGCATTCATGCAGTGGTAAAGAAGGTGATGCACCACAGAGTAAACATGTTTGCAGCGTGAACTAATTTTCAATCTGTATCATTTTGCTTGGCCGGGAACTGAACATGTGCAAGAGATCTTTGTGGTGTGCTAAAACACACACATGCACTTAGCCTGAACATGAGGAAGTGTAATAATGTAACTTGTGGGGGCACAGCAGATGTAACCAAGTGCATGAGACCACACTGGGGAGTCAGCATGACAGTAGAAATTTTCTGGCACTTGCTCCCTCTCGCTGGCATCAGCCATGGTGGTTCGCTAAAGAGCAGTGCAGGATGTATCTTTTGCTCCCGCCTCACTGGCAGGAACATCACTGAGCCATGGGATTTTGTTATTGATTTCAGGTAGGCCTCAGGCATACTAATGATGTTCCCTTAGAGGAGAATTAGTGAGGGGAACAAATTTAATGCACAACACAGGCATTTATCTAACCCTGCTAATACTTCTGTGTCTGTGCCTGTGCTCTAATTACACGCCATCTGGCATTTCCCCTGGTAAAATTCCCTCTCATCCCTCACACTCAGCCGTGTTGATTGCTGCTGATCTTCAAGTGAGGATTCATGCAAACTTTCCTGTGAAACACTGTGAGAGTGATGGTGAACTAGCAGGCTGCACAGCCGGCAGTGTTGAGGTGCAAGAGTGGTGGGGGGTATCCCGCCCTACTGCTCTCAAGAGACGAGGCAGCTGAAAGATTCTGGGCCCACTAATGCCGGCGATACCTAGAGCCATTACAGCTCTTTCCCCTATAATGCTCCTGATAGAAGGCCACGAAGAGCAACTGGCACTCGAGGCAGAGCTCATCTCTTGTGTGCAAAAATCAGGTCGTGAAATGCTAAAAGACAAGAATGGAAGTGTTGACTGAAGTGATCACCTTATTAAGCTGGTTTCGCCTTGAAAATATACACTCTTCTGTGCTTTAACAGCAGCTTGCCACAAAGAAACCATGTTCTTTCCGAAAAAAAACATCCACAACTTCACAAAAGAATGAGGTCAATCACTCTCACCTCAGATTTATATCTCAACCTTCCCCGAAGCGTCTATGCTTTCTGAAAGAATCTGGTGAGTGCAGACTGGGAGGAAAAAAACTTTAGCGGGGTGATGCTGGTATGGGTCACACTAACGCACAACCACAAAATCTGACAGGAGGGATTACTAATCTGCAAATTTGCGGGGGCTATGTGGCCACGCAGTCACGATAAAACAAAAAATTCAGTAACCTTGCACCCTACCCGCCATTCCTCTCTTATCAGTTCCCCCTTTTGAAAATAAAGTAAAAAGGTTGAGCAGCAATGCATCATGGAAATGTTTGTATCAGTATTATCAGCCTTCAAAGTCATTTAGTTTCAGTGAGGCTTCAAAGTTGTTCTATTTTCAGAACGCATCTGTCTTCAGGGGAGTGTGAGGGAGATGGCGTCAAATCAACTATGAAGTAAAGTACCAGCACACAGTCCAGGGACTGAAAAACACAAGTACTGAGCAAAAGGGTTCTGATGTATCATCATTTTCACATTAAGGAAGTAAAAGTAAATGTGCACACTTACCACTGCTGCACCTCTTTCTCGGTAACTGTAAGAGAAGTAAGGACTGATATTAGTGCAGAGAAAAACTTGGGTTGTCCTAGAAAAAGAAGCTGGTAGTTAATCATTCTGGCCTAATCCTTTCCAACGCTTATCCTCTGAGCACAACTTTAACAGTAAACATCCAAGAATTGAAAAGCAGCACTTTCTCATTGAGAGAAGAAGTAAATGACTCCAGTTTATCAAAAGAGACAAACAATCATTCCTCTTTGCAAGGACAGTAGTAGACAAGTGGGAATACACCCCGGGCAGTCACCAAAAGACAGAGAATGAAGATCGGCCACAGATTTAAGAGTGAACAGTTTAGCAGCATGATGTGTCATCGTGCCCACACAAGCACCGCTATCTGTTTGTGTCACATCACCCAGCCCCACACGGCTCGTCTTTGTTTCTTGACTTTCTATTAAGTAATCAGAGCAATTTTCAGCCTCTCAGACCCTGGGGTTGCTAATGAAAATGAGGGGTGGGAATCAATCATTTTACTTTCTACTGTTAGTCCTCTGACATGGACTTCCTGATGTCCTGTTACACATGTCAGAGAATAAATCTTCTCTACAACCAACGACTGGGTTAGGGGCAAAGTGAAAGAATTAGTCATACAAACAGTGTGCTAGTTAAACACCAATTTCATCAAAAACAATGTTTAACCCTGAGCTACTCTGTCAACGGTACTTTAACACCACACAACTCAGAAAACAAAGCAAACCATGAAGGCGCAAACCTCAAATTAACCACCAGAAAATGACCAAGCAGGATGCAAATTGTAGACTTCAACCGTGTATTTCTGTCAGAGATTTTGCATTTATTGAGATTTTGCATTTGAGATTTTTTCCAGTTATTGTCATTTTACAATGACAATAACCAAGCCAGAATGAATCTTAACGTGGGTATTGATAAGGGGGCCTGGTTAGGCTGCTTTTGCATGCATGCATCTCCATCTCAGTTTGTTCTGCTCGGCCAAGAAACCCACCACGTGATCACTTCCGGGGCAATAAATGTCAGGTCAATCACACCACTGTCAGCCAAGCCAATCTACCATTAAATTGGCTTCAAAAGTCAATGCAGTCCAAAACTGAGGCAATTTACAATTGTCACAATTTAACATAGCCCTTCAAAAAGTCTTACATAACTCAGAGGCAGCGGGCAACAATGCAACCAGTAAGGGGGTCGGCCATCACATGGGCCTCCATCATATGCTGCGGAATTTCTAACAGGACTGCTGGTCCTTCTGCTGGCGCCGTAGCAGTGCTTCAGAAAAGCACTTCTGAGGGGAATGAAGCTCCTTAAATGCTGAGATGAGCATGGAAAAAAACAAAACAATTTCCATAAATCTTTACCCAAAATGGAAATATCTCCAGCTACTAGTCTCAGCCTCTTCATAGCCGAGTTTCTGGCTGGAAAGAAAAGTATTTAAAATATCTAGTCAAAATGACTGGTCTGTCAAGAACTCACACGCTCAATACAAAGCAGAGGACAGACATCTGATTATACACTCTTAAATAAACAGGCCTTATTGTTGGCCGTGCATTGTTGCTTGTCTGTTAACATGCAGAGCATTTTATTCACTGGAAAAAAGCAGGCTTCTTCTCCTACCACTAAAACAAAAAGAAACACAGCCACAGAGAAATTGAAGTCCCTGTTCTGTCAAAAAGCAAAAGAAAGCACTGACTAAAATGGCAGACAAAGCTTCTCGTGGGAGAGTGAGACAAAAAATGCCATAGGATGAAAGAGAGGAGAAATGACAGAGTCTGAAGTGAAGCAACAACAGCGTGAGGGAGCGTGATCACACTGGGAGAGAAAGCTCGGTGCCCCTTTCAGCGATGCTAACCAGATAAGATCCTAATTATACTATTCCATTCCCCGCTCAAAGGGGGCAATTAGGGGGTAAGGCTTAGAGAGGCAGGGTGAAAGGGTAAAAGAGAAAGACAGCAAGTACAGGACAGCAGAAAGCAGTCCAGCCCAGCATGATGCCTAATCTTCCTCCACCGCAATTTCCTGGTACAGCAGCCTTCCTCACTTCTGTGGGGGGACTCACCACACAAATAACACTGTCATTAAGCAGCCAATGGATGTCAACTCCCACTCACACCTGCACACTGTACGGCTCAAATAATAACTCTGCGCTCCAGAAATAACACACAAATGATTAAAATAAAGTCCTCCGAGCAGACGTTGCCAGTGGCGATTAGAAATGTGATCACCGCTCAAATTTGATTAAAAGCTCTCGTAAAGTCTATTTTTTCCTCCCAACGTCTGTGTTCAGTGGAAGATAACAAGCTGACAAGGTGGCAGAAGCAAAGACACACAGGACTGAGAATAACAGATGTAACTGTGATGTCTCATGCTCTGCCAGGTTTCTGTACCGAGGGTCACTTACTGCTTATATGTGAGATCCCTATAACCATAAGCCTCTATCTTGCAGGCATGGAATTCATAATTACGGCACGAGAAGCACAGCATGAATTAATTTACACTTAATATGTCATATCTGCCAATGAACCCAGTCAAAAATAGAATAACACAAGTGGCTCACACATAAAACCCCATCCATCCTTGACGGCTGAGAGAGACTCAACTTCTTCTCCTTCTCCTTTATAAATCCCCTCTCTGTGATTTAAAAGGTGCTGACTGTGCCTTTCTGCGGGGGCTTCACCAATCACAATTTGCTACAAAACATTTAAATTGAAATTTGAATCAAAGGGGGACCTTATTCTCTGGTGACATTTATACTAAGCTAAGAGTTTAGACTAAGAGTAATGACAAAGGGATAGGGAGTCCCAATAAGCATAGCAAATCTACTGTAAAGCCTGTTTGATGCAGAGCGACTGGATAATATGATTAGCAGCAGCAATATAATCATTATTAGGTGCAGCTTTAGCATTTTGTACCTTTAATCGTGACATTTCTTGATTTGCATGCAGTTGGATAGAGTTTATGCAAGCTTTCTTTCAAGAGACTAAAGACAGAAACAAAAAGATCTGGGTCTACTCACAGTAGGTTTTTCTTGTTAACTCCTCCACCACCTCTGGCTTCAGCTTGCTGTTTGATTTCCCCATGATCTTCAGCTCTCTTCCACACCTCCAAATTCACCTTGGCAAGCAGCACCTGTTACTACTTCCTCTCCAGCGCGTTACTCTGCCAGAAACATACAACAAACGTGGGCTGGTTAAGGTGCAATGACGCCGAGAAGTACGATAAACACGCTTTATCGTAAAAAGAGGGGGGAAAAAAAGAAGAGAAGAAATGGAGCAATTCCCAGTCAAGCTACATGAGTCTTTTCTTCCGCGTGTTTGGTTCTAGCTGTGGTCATGATCAGCTCGGTCATTAGCCCTGGCACTCCAGACGAACGCAGAAAACCCCAAAGGCTCTGTGAAGCGGGGCCAGCAGGTTGTAGAGTCTATAAGAGTGCTTCTGAGGGCCTATGTGTCCGCCTCATTTCTTCACAGACGTCCGTGGGCGAGGAGTGGCATTCGGATGCGTTGCTACCTTCGTCCTTGGATACAAGAGTCACTCAAAGGCTGGGTTAAGCATGGTTGCTCCCTCACAGTCATTCTCTGTTCTCTTCACTCCTCCCACCCCTCCTTTCCCACCACTATCTCTATTGCTCTGGGTAAGTTACAGTAGAAAAGAATCCTCCCTCTTGACAGCCAAGATATGGAGGTGTGTAAACTAAAACACAATGAACAGAGCTTTATCAGCCTCTCACTGAAAAACCTTAACTCAAATCCTTGGAGGTCAGACACACATCACAAGTAAAAGGTTTTAAAGGTCTCTATTATCATTTATGAATGGCAAAAGATGTCTGGTCCCTTTATGCCACACCTTTTCAGATGCCAACTGAACAGCCTAAATAAAAGGATCTGGTGCTGCCTTTGAAATAAGCATGTAAGCTCTCTACCAAGTTTATAGGCAGATTTGACAGGGCAGTTTTCTTTTTTCCTCCCTTCTGACTCATTCTCCATTCCTCCCTCCTTCCTGGCCTCACGACATGGTGAGTTCCTTCTGTCACGGCAGCCAAGATATAGGGATAATGGAATTTCTTTGTACCGCAGACCTGCACACACTGATGTCTAACCCCAGCAGCTGCCGGTGGCTCGGAGCAGAAAACTTTACGGTATCCTCTAGGTACCTTCAAAGGAAACATCTGCTCTCTGTGTCCAGACCCAGTGATGCCCTTCTGAGGGATGTCCCGCCGTTAATCACCATCCTTTGGTTTGACTCCAGTCTTGAGGTACAGGGTGTAACTTGTATGCTATGAAGACAAACAAACAGGCAGAACTTAGAAAATGGGTGTGACAAACAGGCCCTGTGTTTCACTGGGGGAAAAAAAGTTTCTTTTTTTTTGCTTTTTTTTCTTTACTTAAAGCTACAGACACGTTGACATTTTACGTTCAATTATTCTATGAAGCTTCAGAAAACAGCCAACAAAGAAATATTTGAATTAGTGTGCTGCCTATTCAAAATCTTGGTGCGCGCACTGTGTGCAGCTACTGTTTAAAATGATAGCAGACCGAACAAACTGAGTCCTTTTGAGTCAAACAGGTGGCTAAACCATGTCGACTCACAAACTTCTGTCATGAACATTTAATGAACGCGCGAGAAGCGCCTCGTTTCTCCACATTTCTACATGTTCGATAGGTGTGAACGAGCCACGGAGTGGCGGCGGCAGCAGCAGGTGGGATGTTGCCTGGCACTACCATAGCAACGCAGTTTATGGCTACATGGCAACAGCCCGAATGCGGGAAGCTCGCTAGTCATTGCCCGTTGGTAACCCACGCTGTTCCGTTGTTTGCTACTTTGCCATGGGGCGGGGGTCATTATTACTAATAGCAGCTTTTCGATTTAAAAACAAGTGGTGGGTTTACCTTAGCTACAAAGGGAGGTGTCTCGCGGTCCCACTACGGCAGGGCAGAGCCCCGGTGTCCGGCCGGCGCTGTCTCCTTCCGCCGAGTCGCGCGAGCTAGTCGCTGCTGGCGCGCGGACGTGTGTCCGTGCCGCTGGGATGCCGCCGCCGCCGTAAATCGTTCGGGAGTGACGTTGCCGCTGGCCCCGACCAGCTCAGCCCCGCTCAGAGCCGAAGACACTGACGTCGCGGTGCCGCTGGTCATACACTGACTCTTTGTGTGCCTCCAGTGCCTTCACACGTGTTATTTCTAAGAGTGTGAAAGGAGTACTTTCCTTGCTTTTGTTTTGTGGTCTGAACACATGCAGGGATAGTCGTTGTTACTGAGGAGTTTCACGTTAGAGGTTGTATGTAAAAAGGGGTAAAGATAAAAAAAAATATTGTTTTTTTCTTTTTTCATGATGAAATAATATATCCGTTTTACCATGTTAGCAATGCGTATCTACTTGATCGGATTGTGAACAACTGCCCGGGCACAGACATGCAAACGCCCCCCCCGCACTCATCCTAAAAACAGAATCGAGACACCCACACTGAAATGGCAAAAATCACGTTTTGTGTTTGTTGAGTGGCTTCAGTGTACATTTGATGGCTAATCTCTTGTCGCTGTTTATCTATAGTTTGTCCTTTTCTATCTGCTTTTTGTATGTTTTGCATCTCTTCATATTTGTGTACATTGAATTGAGTCATTTTTGTCTCTCATTTGTCTCTCATTTGCACACATGTTTGGTTTGTGTCACTCTCTGTGATGTGCCAGATGTAAGCGATCAGAGCAGGCACTCAGTGAGGAACTTCTTAAGCCTCTGCTCAGAAGCTTTGCGGTCACATTGTCAGACTATGCTGTGTCTTGCAGTTAACCACTATTACATTGAATTTACAGTCCAGACGTTTGCTTTGAATACTTCCTTAGCCTATTTAGTTTACAACAATTACACACCAAGAAAGGTCAAACCATAAATCAAGCAGACGCTAGCCTTCCATCTTGAGTAAAGGAAGGCAAAAGCCCAATAATGCAACTCAGTGGAGTCTTTAAACATCTTTGGCAAATACCAAGAATAAAAAGAAAGAAAGCAAAATCTATTAGAAACGCCCTCTTTGGGATTCAGAGCCATAATTCAAGTTACTTTCGCACAATCGCATAATCATGTTTACCCATATAGCCTCATATGAAATGACATGTATACCCTTATATGAAATACAATACTTTATGAACAGTGCAGTGTTGAAAGTGTGAAATATTACACTAGTTACAAAGAAGAAAATGATTCATTTGTAGTTAAATATTAATGGCCTGTTGTCTTCAGGTGAGTTGTGTATATATAACTTATTAGACTACATGACTGGTGCACAGACCAGGCATTATACCCAGAGGCTCATTTGTAAATCTTGTGATTTGTACCTATGCCTGAGTCCAAACTCTGCTATCAGATATTTCTTTGCTCTAGATATTGAAATTCTGCTCCTATCCGTAACATGTAAACATGTGTTCGCTCACTCGTCTTCTCTTTTAAGAACCAGTGAAGCTTCATTCTGTTGCTTTCACTGGAGGACTGGATCAAAATATAAGATATCTGACTGCCAGTTTAGTATTCTGTGCCCTCTCCTGCAGTACGTTATTGCAGTCAGCAGCAAGATAAAACAGTCTTGTGGGTAAATATTGAACTAAAAGCAGACAAAAGAGGCGGTGGAATGAACCACATAAATGACAGATTTATAATGTTTTAACCAGTTGGAGTTTAATGAAATGTTTAATTTTTTAAAATCTGGTTTAATTTTGCTTATAGCCAAATGGAGATTAGGATACGCTGACTTTATTTGCAGAAGGTACTTCAATATTACCATTAATGTAAAATATTCTGACTGTATAAGTGCAATTATGCTGTATGGTAATGATGGGGGTGTTTTGACTGGAAAGCGCTCACATTAAATGTGCTCTCTCAGTATTTTCAAATTGCTTTTTCCTCAGGGCTCAATTTACACTTTTTTCTTTTTGTTTATGTCTGTGCCTCTGAAAGAAGACACAGGAGAACATGCGGCACATTTTGGGATCATCCCACGCTTATTTATCTGAAAATGCTGCTTTAAGGAACCTACACATCCAGATTGAAATATGTCAACGTTCGTTTGACACCCACTCTCGTTTTTGTGCTACCTGGTACTTATTAACATGCAAAGGAAAGAAATATCCTCTGCAGACTCATTCAAAGCAACACACAGTGACACTGGCTGCCTTATCTCACCTCTATCAGCACTTACTGAAACACACATGGCTGAGCTATTTCCCCCTGCAAAGGATTATGTGCTGTGATTGCATACTTGTTAATTTCTCTGAAACCACATACCACCTCTATTAAGTCATCAGCACAGTGGCATCATTAAATGGCCTGGGCAGTGGCATAGCATCACTGCGGTATGCTGACATATGCAAAAACAGCTGGAAGTCCAGGGGAAGAAGCAACAGCCTGGGAAATATCTGTATACTGTTGTGCCAGTGAGTTTCACCACCCTCGGTTTATATGTTATGAGCTCGAGAGGCATCGTTGCAGGGATGATAAAATATTGTCTTAATTTGTAGAGAGAAAACAGGAAGGCAGTGAAAATCCTCATCAGTAGGGAAAAGAAAACATTCCTGTGTCTATAGATTTTCATGTAACAAAACCTGATGAGTGAGACAGCTATACATAAACACGTTCTGTAATGATTGAGAAAAACATGTCCATATGGCTGAAAAACAGCTACTATGGAGCCATTCTGATTATACTTTTATGCACAGCTGCAGCTTTGCTTCAGCATCTGATCCATCACTCTGGCAGTTTTATAAATAGTCATATACTTAACTTTGAACAGAAAAATGTGGCTACACTGAGTTCGACATAAGATGGATTCTAGATTCAGCCAAGATATATTAGTTGAAATAACAATCTATAACTTGCAAGGTTAGAAAAATAAAAAGAAGTTAAGCCGTGAGATGTGGTCATATCAGATGAGAACATCAATCTATTGAAAATGCCCATGCTAACCTGCCTGCTGCTGAAACTACCATTTTTAATCTTTTCTTTACTTAATATGAAAAGACTTTCAAGCTATGATGTACAATCTCTGTATACCAAAACATGAAGAGGTGAAGTATGACTCTATAAAAAGAAAAATGAATCTTTGCACACACTGATTGTAACAGATGGACAGAATGACAGCGAGCAGCAGATGAACGGGAATCCTTTTATGTACAAATCAGCGCCACTCTACTTAAGTGCTGCTCTAAAATAAAATGCAGAAAGGCCAGCCCTGACAAATAAAAAGCTGTTGGCTAAACGTCTCAAAAAGGATCAAATTATGGACTGTGATTACAATTTAAAATGAAGAAGAAACAGCTCCTCAAAATGTCACTGAGGCTAATAGAACTAAACAGTTTTCTGTGTTACACTTCCTACCATGAATAGCTCCTTCTTCCTCTCAAAAACTGCAACAAAACAATTTTTTCCCGAGGCATCATCTGCTGTGCCCACTTGAGTATCCCATATGGCTAGTTATATATAATTTAGGACATCATAAATATACAATCCCTGCCCTCCTCTGAGTGAACACACATGGTCATGAGGATCCAGCAACACTTATCACAGTCTGTTGTGCTCAGTAAATCCAGCATGGCGGTGAGGTTTTAATGGAGCAGGAATGCTGGTGTAATGCCTGTGACAACCAGCTGTTAATTCAGACTGACAACATGCAGATATCTGGCAGACTAATGGCAGATGGGGTTTGCATCACAGAATCCTGGAGATAGATAAACTCCCCTAGTAATGATGCAGATGGACTGGAGCAGGCAGAGAGAGCAAAAAGGGTCAAACATTATCAGCAGGATGATGAAAAATGTTTTTAAGTTTATTCAGAATGAAGAATTTAATTCCCCAGTGTCTGTGATTTTCACAAAAATTGAAGGAAACTGTCTGTTGAACTGTAATTCAAAGTTTCAAGTATTCAATTACACATAGGATCAAATCTGATAACTGCATCATTCATAAGAAAAACGAAGGGGAAAACTTTGTGCTGATCATAATTCATTTTAGACAGAAGTTAGTAATCTGGTTCAATTTAAAGTGCAAAGAAAAATAAATCCACTCGTGACCCAGAAGAGAATGCTGGAATTTCTAACTTAATTTTAGTTTAGTTGTCGGCACTGTGAATCCAGTGCCTTCCTAATTAACAATTTTGCATTGGTTTTATGAGCATGACGGATAATATCCTCTTAAATTCTTCTGGGGAGCCTGCACATGGCCTTTTTCCTACCCATTTAGTTTTTGCTCATCCACAAGATCAAGCTTGCCCTCTAATGGCTAAAACTGGTACTGACGTGATGGAACGTTCATAATGAGTGTAGTTTTATTCTGACAGTGTAAATGTGTGAGGATCTAAATGGGCATTTGATTTCCGAATTAAGCATGGCAGTCATCACTGATTCCATCCAATCAAAATCATCCAAATTGCATAAAGTCTTCATTTCTTTTTTTTTTTCTTTTTTTTTTCACTGCAGTGACACAAGAAAGGAAAATACACAGAGTAGTTAGTCATAGCACACATACTAAAAAAGCCAACCAATGAGATCTATATTCTTGGGCCAACATCTGAAAAAAAAAAAGAAGAGCAAACACGTGACACATGTCAACTTTGTCCCGGCCGTTTACATAAACACGTTACGCATCCACTCTTCACTGACAGCACTCTGTCCTGTGTGCGTTGGAGGATCAGACATTGCCCTGGTGTCAGGGCACAGCAGGCAGGCACAAAGAAAGAGGGGAAAGATGATTTTTATGACTTTGCTCTGTCTGCTGCTCCTGTGGCCTGGCTGCAGAGCTCTAATGGAATCTCCACTGGACGAGGTAGGTGGAAAGCTGTTGGCGAATACAAGTGACTGCATTGCTACAGGACTCCTGGAAAGTGCATTGAACTTTTCAACTTTAAACTGTTCATCATTTTCATGGAAATATCCAATCTGTGTAGTAGATCATAACAACGTTTTACATGACTCAGTGACCATCATCCAACAAAATGCTTCAAAATTCATGTATTTCATTTATGATTTTGGTAACTTTCCTTTATTTACTTTTGGGGATTTGAACCTGCTATTTCTACCTGAACTAATTATGGCTTGTCCTTCTAGACAACTGTTCACCTGTCCACCAAACAAAGATACTTCACCTCAGGTTCCTCAACAGACATGCCAGGTATGTTTTTCTTTTAATGGCCGTACAGAAACACATATTAAGGACAGAGCTCTCTGTTATGATGTAATATAGTTAAATACATATAGTTGAATGCCATCTGATGGCTTTTAAGCTGTTTTGAATCACTTCCTTTGCTCATAAGTAGGTTATATATATTTGTTTTGCCCTTTCTTACAGTGAATGGGCGTGTGCGTCGCTCAGATCGGATGCCTGATATCACCCATCTGGAACTGCTGGTGGTTGTGGGGCCTGATGTTCAGCAGTTTCACAAGCAAGATACAGAGCGATACATCCTAACCAACCTCAACATTGTAAGTTTAATTACAAACATACCCATCTAGGCTATTCTAAATGCACTGGTTGGAAATTAAGTACAGGTGGGTATGGATACGGTTGGGCTGCTATTAGGAATGATCAATAACTAAAAAGTTTGGGGGAGGGAACAGCCCATTAGAGGGCAAAATCTGTTTATGTGTTGTGCTGTTTCTTTTAAAGTGTTATTGTTAACGGCTCTTTTGTCCAACTAGAGTATCTGAGCAGGATGAAGTGTAATAATCAGATTTATGTTCCAATATCTGCTTAGGCCTCTGAGCTGCTGAGAGACATGACCCTGGGTGCCAATATGAGGGTGCACCTGGTTCGCATGATCATCCTGTCAGAGCCAGAGGTAAATAAACGCAGAATTCACTCATAATAATATGCTGTGGGTCCGCTCGGTGATCGGAAAGCTCTTGCTCTTACATAATGAAACGTTCACTAATCAGCTGCTGTGAAGCAGAATGGCTTTGAATCTGTGTAACAAAAGCTTAAGCCTTAATTCTGCTCAGCTACATCTTACCACTCCTGTCACTGTTCCACCTCTTCCAGCCAGAGATTAAAATGTCCACCAACATCACCTCTTCTCTTAAAAGTGTGTGTGACTGGGGCAGACGCATCAACCCATCTAACGACACCGACCCGCTACACGCTGACCTCCTGTTGTATATTACAAGGTAGTTCAGCCATGTCCATCTACGGCACATCACATGGACGTGTGTCACACACATATGAATGAAATTGATACGTTATGTCTTTAATCCCACTGAGGTATGACTTGGCACTCCCTGACGGGAACAAGCATGTCAGGGGAGTAGCACAGCTGGGCGGGGCCTGCTCCACTGAATGGAGCAGTGTGATCACAGAGGACACTGGCTTCGATCTGGGGATCACCATCGCCCATGAAATTGGCCACAGGTAAATCAGAGTGAAACTGTTGTTCAGCACTTATGTACCAGTTTTTGTGCTTATTCTTATAATAGTAGTTTGCGTGTTTCCATCTAAGTGATGCTTTTATCCATAGACCTATGGTTAAATGTATTTAAACATCTAAGGCAACATAACTGAGTACTAAGGATATGGTAGGTCTTCAGCTGGAACCCTTTGCATGAACTATTTTAAATAACTGCATCCCAAACCAAAATGTATGTATTCTACATAAGCAATTCAGTTCTGTAGAGTTTAAGATTGGCACATCAAGCTTAGCTCCAGTTGAAAATTGTCCTCTCTAAGAAGAATGATCTTTCAATATTCTCATGATAGACATTTCCCACAATGAGGTAATTTCAGCATTTTTTCAGTCAAATTGAACTTCTTTACCCCCCAGTTTTGGGATCAACCATGACGGTGTTGGAAACACCTGCAGTAGGAGCGGCTTCATGATGGCCGCTGACGGAGGCTACAACAGCGTGGACCTGACCTGGTCCCCGTGCAGCCGACAGCAGATTATGACTTTCTTCAGGTGGGCCTAAACCTTCATGTCAGAGGAAGGTATTACCTTTCCATTTTTCGCAGATATTCAGTGACTTGTAAACCCTACAAATTCTCATGTATTGTTGTTATTAGTGAAGGCAGAGCAGAATGTGTAAAAGACTTGCCGGCATTGGGGGGCTCCTTACAAGACTGGAAACCTGGGCTGTACTATGGGGTGGATGACCAGTGCCGCATAGCCTTTGGAAGCACGGCAAGAGCCTGCACCTTCACTAATCCTGATCTGGTATGTTTGATAAGGCATCTTGACAACATTGAGTGGCATTTCACATTTAAAAAAAGGCCTGAAATTCTACAAATTTGTTCACCGTTTAAAGTATTGTTCTCTTTTTCCATCAGCCGGCTTGTCGCGTTCTGTCGTGTCACGTTAACCCCGGTGATGACAGCTCCTGCAAACGTCTCCTGGTTCCGCTGCTGGACGGGACAGAGTGTGCTCCTAATCAGGTACAGCACTCGGTGTGTTCAGCCGGTCGTTCTGTGTCTCAGAGTAGACGTGAGCCCCAGCCTTTTTCTAATTTTCTTGCAGTGGTGTTTGAAAGGGCGTTGTGTGTCCCCAGATGATCTTGGCACCTCCGTTGTTGTTCACGGCTTCTGGTCCAGTTGGTCCGAGTTTTCCTCCTGCTCACGGACGTGTGGTGGGGGAGTCACACTCCGCACACGACAGTGCAACAACCCGAGGTAACAAACGTCACGCATGTGTCATACATGCCTTTGGACAATGGCTGTGTAGATAAATGAAATGTCTGTTCTGTCAAATTTTCAGGCCTGCTTTTGGGGGAAATGATTGTGAGGGTCCAGATGTTGAGGCTGAACTTTGTCATCTGCAGGCAAGTTCTTACTGGTTATGTTTACAGTAGGCCTCAATATTCTACTATGTCAATATCATTCACTCAATGTATGATAGCACCCAGAACCACCCCCGCCTGTGATCTTTAGTTATTAGCTCACAGTTCCCATAGGAAGCCCCCAAATATAAGCATCGCTCACTAGACTTTTAATTAAAATCGAATAAATAATTTAAAAGTAAGACTATAAGCCCGAGGCACAGTCAGCTGAATTTCAGATTTGCTGCACTACTGTGAACAACTTCATGGTTTTGTAAGGCATGGGGTTAAAAAAAAAAAGAAAAAAAGAAAACGAGGCATTTTTCTCTCCATGTCCATGCAGCCTTGTGCGCGCACCCAGCTGGATTTTATGGCGGAGCAGTGTTCACAGACAGATCTTCAGCCCCTCTACCTGCTGCCACAGGCTGCCTCCTTCTACACCTGGATCCCTGCTCTTGGTTTTGTAAAAGGTAAATCTGAAGAAAGCATTTCTTTATGACATGTATTAGGATCACATCTGTATGTCAAACCATTTTTCTTCCTCTGGTCATGACCAGAGGATGAGCAGTGCAGATTTATGTGCCAGTCGGATGGAGAAAACTTCATTGTGAGCCGTGGCTCTCAGTTTGTTGATGGAACACGCTGTGAGTCTGACAGTTTGACTTCTTTTGGCACCATTGCTGCTTGTCTGAGAGGCAGATGCCAGGTAATAAGTTGCTGAAGATGCCAGAGAGAAGATTATTCTAATTATCTCTAAGCTTTTTACATCAATCATTTGTCTCTGATCAGCTCTTTGGCTGCGATGGTGCACTGCACTCTGGGAAAGTGCGGGATGTCTGTGGAGTGTGTGGTGGCAATGGATCAACATGTACTTTAAAATCTGACTCCTTTAATGGTGGCAAGGCCAGAGGTAAGAAACTGGATAATGGACTGATTTTTCTATCAAATGACATAAATCTGTACATTACTGAGGTATACTATATTTTCATATTAATCAAGAGATCAACCAGGTTAAGCTGTTTGCACTATCATTTTCTTCTGTAGTTCCCATTCAAACCTTCTGTTTCAGAGTACACAACCTTTCTTACTCTGCCAGTGAATGCCACACAGGTTCATATTGTCAACAGGGCACCTGTCTTCACTCATATGGGTAAAGTATATCACAACAAATTACATTTTCATTTCTAACTATGCCACACGAATAAGATCTTTTTTTTGTTTATTTTGTTGGGTCATTTTGTGTCCACAGCCGTTTTAATTGGAGATCAGTACATTGTGTCTGGAATAGGCACAATAGCGCTGAATGTGACCCATCCCTCCCCATTGGATGAAAACCATATAAAGTATCACATACACCTTACAGCTGATCTTTTACCTGAGATGGAAGAACTGATAGTACCTGGACCACTGACACAACAGATGGACATACAGGTCAGAAAAGAAAACCTACATTTAAGTCTCATTATTGTACAGGATGACACCAAATCAGAAAAGATTAGGATGGTAGGAAAAATGTGGGGCAGTTATTAATTTACTTATTATTTTACTAACTCATTTTACTTCATCGTATGAATTCTAAACTTTCCATGTTGTTTCATAAACTTAATTCTGTTTTTTGCTTGTCATTTCTGATACATTTTTCAAAAGCTGCGACATAGCAAATGAATAATGATTTTTAAAAAGTAAAAAACATGTACCAACATGTTTCAACCATCTTATGTCCAAAAACATGACTATGAGAAGCAAAGATAGGCAAAGGATCACTGGTTCGACCACTTATAGAAATGTCAACAAAAGAAAGACTGGAGAGGGTTTGCATATTTCTCCTTCTACAGGAAATTTAAAAATGTAAGTTTCAAGGGATCTGGTTTCAGTAAGTAAAACGAAAGCTGCAAGTTTTAACATCTTTGTTATCCAACTCATTAGAGGCTAGTTTACCCACATGGTATTACTGCTCTATTTTCCTCTCTTAATTTTGCCATCCCAACTTTTCTGGTTTGAGGCTCTATTTCGTACACATAAAGAAAGAAAATTGGGGAAAAAAAATCAAATCTATATTTCCAAGTTGTCTATAAATGTTTTCCCTGATGCAGGTCTTTCGCAAATATGGAAGAGAATATGGTGAAAAAACAAATCCAAACATCAGCTATCAGTTTTATGTCCCTACAAAAAACAGCAACTTGACTGAACCCATTTTGAGAGGCAAATGGACTGCTGTCACATCACCTTGCTCCGTCTCTTGTGGATCAGGTAATAAAAAAAAAAGAAGAAAAAAAAAAGAAACCCTCAAATGGGAATACCCAGAAATAGTCATTTAATGCATTTAATGTTTGGTGTTATAAGTAACTCGCAGTATTAAATAAAATAGTCCAGATAAGATTAATTTTCCTATTCTTAAAGCTTTCCCATTTTCCCTCAGGTGTGCAGAAGCTTGATTATGTCTGTGTGGATGAAAACACCAACATCACTTTGCAGGAACACCACTGTAAAGCGCCTGCTCCAGAGAGACCACTCCACACAACCTGTCAGCTCTCGCCCTGTCCCCCCAGGTTAGGTGCACTCAGCTCTTCCTTTTTCCCTATTAATAGGCGGGATACATTGGCATAAATGACTAATTTATTATTTTGCAGGTGGGATGTTGGAAAGTTTGGGACTTGCAGTGCCTCCTGTGGAGGTGGAGTGAGGGTGCGTTCTGTCCAATGTGTTCAAAAACTTGGGTCTGATGTGGTAATGGTTCCAGACTCTGAATGCTCCTCTCAAACTGCTCCACACACGACTGAAAAGTGTAACATGCACCATTGTCCAGCTAGGTATGACAGACTATTTTCCTCCATTATGTGTCATGATATTTATGTAAAGTAAGAGCTGTTATCTTGCTGTTATTAAAAGATGCGTCATGCTATTCTGCTACGTTTAACTGGCTGAATAACCCATATTTTTATTACATACACAGATGGCATGTGTCAGAGCCAGGGGAGTGCTCAGCAGTGTGTGGGCCAGGAGAAGCAAAACGAGCTGTATCATGTGTGCGGCCAGAGAATGGTCAGGATATTGAAGTGGACCAAAGATTTTGCTCAAAGCTCAGCATGCCATCAGATTCTGTGCCATGTGTGGTAGATGTCTGCCCCATTGGCTGGGAATCCAAAGGGGAGGTAAAGACTAAAATGGATCTCAGTTGTTTTTAGAATGTTGAAAGCATGCTTTAAGTGACATCTCTTTTGAACAGGAGGATCGCATTTTAAAGTCTGGTTTGTCACCACGCTCCAGACAGACCCCTGTGTATGTTTGGAGTCCTGTTATCGGCCAATGCTCAAAGACCTGTGGCAATGGTTAGTTGAAGATATGGTGAGCGTTACCTCAGATGCATCAGTGAACTGAAATCCTTAATGCACATGCACTGCAGGAACCCTCCAAGTTTGGTTTTCTTGTGTGGACCACCATACAAGACTGGGGGTCCCGGACTTCAACTGTGATGCTTCTACCAAGCCTAATCCTCAGTCTGAGATCTGTGGCACTTCTCCATGTCCTGCTATGTGAGAAAGCATAAATGATTGTTTGCATATAATTGATTTTAATATTTATAATTCAATCTGGTATATGTGGTATATCCAGTAAATGTTTGTTTTTTTCAATGAAAATTTGCACAGCTTTGTCAATATATCTTTATAACAACCAGGTGGCGCTCTAAGCAAGGGGTGTGCAGTGTAACATGTGGAGGAGGGGTAGCCAACAGGGTGCTGTACTGCGCTCTAGAGGCAGAGGGAGAAGAGGAGGTGGTAGAGGATTATCAATGTAGCAGCTTTCCCAAACCCACAGCAGTGGTTGCCTGTAATACTCACAGCTGCCCTGCCCGGTAAACCGCACGCAAACACCATGTCCGTGACAACTTTTTGCAAAAGTATAGAGCATCTCACCAACAGCGTCCCTTGTTCAGGTGGAAGGTTCTCGGGACATCGCCGTGCTCCGTGTCCTGTGACCTGGGTGTGGCTCAGCGGAACGTGTCCTGTGTTCGTTTTATTCATGGGAAGGAGAGCGTGGTTCTGGATGAAAGCTGCCATGCAGCCGTCAAACCAGCCACTACGGTCCCCTGCCTGGTGCAGGTCTGCACCTTCAGGTGGGAAGTGAAGCAATGGAGCCAGGTACATCTCATAAGACTGAAATATGATTATTGGACTGAGTAAGAAGGAATTACTGCTAGATGAAATACTGAAATATTCATCAGCTAACTGACAGAAAAACACAGAGGTCTGCAGTAGAACCATTTTCAGTCCTCTGCATTGATAATTTTCCCAGCTGTATATCATTCATTACTTCCCCAATAAGTCTATAATGGTGGAAGTGTGGTTTTTCTCATACTGTGACTTGTTCTTACCTCCCATGCTATATGCCTTTAGTGTTCAGTCCCCTGTGGATACGGAATCCAGTCCAGAGCCGTTTCCTGCATGGGGCCCTCCAAACCAGAGCCACTCAGCCCTCTGTTTTGTATGCACATGCCCAAACCAATCACCATCCAGGGCTGCCAAATGGGCAGCTGCAGCGATGCAGTCTCCGACACCACCACTGCAATCACGATTAGTCTTACAGAGAGACCTCTTCCACCTCCCACTACGGCCCATACAGATGCAACACAGCAACGCATACGGCTTCTTCCAGGTCCAACAGAGGCAATAACCAGCTCCAAAACTGCCACGGCCACTCCAGCTCCTGAACCCAGTTAGTATGCATATGGTTCAGCAGCTCATTAATGGCTGCATACAGCACATGAGTATACCGACAGCACTAAGCCTTTGTTTTTAGGTGCATGTGGACAACTCCTCCTGGAGGAGTCGGGCACGGTGGATTTAAAAAACGTCACCAGTCGCTGCACAGTAGCCATAGGTCGACCCCTTGATGAGGTCATCCACATTAAAGTATTATCAAGCTCCTTAAACTGCAGAAAAAGTAAGTTTTAAATCTATTGTAAATATATCCCATCTTGCAGCAGTGAGGGTGTCTTAAACCGTCTGTTCATGTGTTGTTACAGAGGAGTATGTAGGACTTTTTGATCGCTTGGCTTTCATAAGGAAGTGTGCACAGGTGGCGGGTAGCGAACTGACCACCAGAACCAATGTCCTGCTTGTGCGTCAAAATCTGTTCACTCCTGGAAATGGCATCGTGTTTGCCTACAGTTCACAAAAGAACATGAAGAGGAGCCATCATCAAAGTAAGACTGTGTCTGGTCAACATGACAAATTGTACCATTAACTTTGAAATAAACCGGGAAATGAATTCATGCTAATCAAATACATATTTCTCGGTATTATCCTTTTTTTTTTCTTCTTTTTGTTTGATTTAGATTTATGCTTTTAGTTTTAATTTGTGGGTTAAAAAAGCTTAAAGAACACCAAAAGAAATTAAAACCCATGTGTATTACTGTTAACCGAAGATTGAAGGAACGTCATATTTGCCACAGATTGCGACGTTCAGCTGTTTTCCTCCAGTGGCATGTTTGAGAATCCAGTAACGTCAAACACAAACCACACCTGCCGAGTGCTCATCAACGCGCCTCCTTCAGTGAAGATCAGAATCCAAGCGCTGCACATAGGATTAGTATTCAACGCCAGCAACTCCCAGTCCACCTACATTATGGTGCAAACAAGCTTTCCGATACATGATGCTTCAATGAGCTGCACACTGAATGGGTAGAATGTGTAAGAAGACTAACCGTTAGATTCTTCTTTTTTTCTTGCACAGATCCGGGACATGGATGTCTTAAAGACCAATGTGTTTAATGGCCACCAGCTGTTCCTGTGGCACTCCTCTGGAAATATGGCAGAGGTTGAATTTCATGGAGACTACCTGCATTCCAAAGGGACCTTCAAAGCTGAATATTCCTTTGTGGGTCAATGATACTAGATGTTGTGTGCTGTTTGGAGTCGCTTTGGATTTATATGCAGAATGTTTCTTTACTTTACAACCCCTACAGTTTTGTTATAGCAATTAACTTAACCATCTTCATTTGATTTACATACTTACAGTGCTTATTGCTTTGACCTGAAATAAATAACCAACAAACCAAGGCACTCAAAATCTTTTAAGTCAAGAGAGGGCTCCACGAGGAGCACCTTAAGTTTAGACAAAGGAATAAATATTTTTACTATTAGAATTCACTTTCATAATATTCCAAAATATTTCATTTCAACCACAGATAATTTCCCTTACAAAGCAGTGCATTGACAGTCAAACGTATACTTCCCCATAGTCCCTTCAGTAGCTGGTCTCCTCTCAGAACATTGTGCGTCTATGCCAGAGTGGCAATCCGCCAATAGCTCTGGCAACAACTTGATTCAGTTTCAGCTTCCATACACAACCAGCATGGCAGGCTCTTGTGTGGGATCACTGTCAGGCCATGGCTGTGTCTTCCAGGAGAGCTCTCATGTCTAGGAGAGCGTCCTCTACATTCTGAGAAAAGTTGGCAGCGTTTGTCTCCTCACAGCTGTTGAAGGCTGTGATGGCAATGTTGATGTGCTCATCCATGGGATTGTAACACACTCCATAGCCATCTGGCACCATCGGTCCAAAGCACATTACACAGTCTGTCTTACAGCCAACCTGGACACAGAGACAGCACAGAGCAAACACACAAGTAAAGAAATATGCCAAGAAACACTAATATAACATACAAAACAATGCTAAGGAACTATGTAGTATCAGATGTAGATGTACCTGGCTGGTGGAGAGATTGAAGTGTTGAGCTACCGCATAAGAGGTATCCATGAATATCTCAGGCATAGAGGTCAGATCTTCAATACCCTGCATCCTCAGCCCAAGAAGATGCCTGTCTATTGCCTGGCCATGAATTGCCTAAACAAGAAAAGGTGAGCAGGTGGAAGGCAGATCAATTTTAGATTTTTTTTAAAAGGGAACATTCGTATTCCAAAAACAAATAAGAATTCCTGAGTCTCACGTTGTAAGTGTTTGTCACATGTGTTTGAACAGCCTTTCGCAGCATTGCCACCCTCTCCGAGTTCTGTTGGGAGCATTTACCGTCATTGAGACATCTCACAAATTGAAAACAGCATATTCATTATGGATCACTAATGGTCACCTGTTTAGCAGGGTCTTGCATTGCCTCGATGAACTGAAGCGAGTCCACAGTGGTTGAGCGGATCACATCGGTTCGTCCATATTTAAACATTCTCAGAGACGCACTTTCATAGATAGAGCAGCATATTGAATACATCCTGGGATTAAAAATCAAACAACATCATCATCAAAACATCCATGTCCACAGTAGCTTTTCTGTGAGGAGTGAAGATTTCTTACCTGAAGTAGGCAAGTTGAAGAGCCATTTGCACAAAGGCATCTGGACTTAGCTTATGTAGCTTTGGCACATTTTTCCCAAAATGAGAAAACACAAGGACTTTCACGTCCAAGTCCTGTACCATCCTAAAAAGGAGGATCAGAAACACGTATAACCTAACCACTGACAAATGACCAACAAAAACGGCGAAGTAATGTGCTGTACTCTACACACATGTTCATGTTCTGCTTGGCATTCTCGATGTCTCTCTTGATCTCAGGTGTGATGTTAAATCGCAGTTTCTGAGGCATGGGCAACGGTACCATGGGGGAGCGGACCACATCTGTCTTTCTCCTGTTAAGAAATACATAAACCAATAAATGACCTCTCAGATCATTGACTAAAGGAGAGAGCGGTCATCTGAAAGCACAGAGGAACTTACACGTAATTAACAACGTAATCGATGAGATACACAATGGGTGGACCCTCGGCAGGTGCGTGCTCGTACACCAGCCCACATGTGCCGTCTTCACCGATGATGAACTGAGGATGATTTGCAAGTACATTCAAATTCGCCGCCGGTGCCAGAGCCCAGCTCGTTATTTCAGGTGTTAAACTGTCCTTCTGACTGACCTGCAGTGTCTTATCAAACCAGCGGTTCCCACTGTTCCGGCGTGGTCCTCCTCCGTGCAGCATCTGTCCAGCCACGCGGCTCAGATAAAGCTCATCTGATACCCGAGGCATCGGCGCGTCCAAACAGACCGTAAAGATACTTTTCTGAATGGCCCGGACAGATTCCTTATTTGTCCTATCTGTGCACCAAAGGAAAGCGCTCTGAGTGTTAAATCTTTATTATACATTTATTTTCTGGCAGGGTTTATGCCATCCTACCAGAAAATAAAGTCAATTAATGGAGTGAATTTCTGACAGCGTCTGCTCACCCTTCATCAGGTTGTTGTAGGCCTTTCCCCAGGTATTACGATGCTGTGATGTGAGAATGCCAATCGGCTCCTTGTTCGACTGCAAAGAAGAATTCCAAATCTTCTCCAGCTGCATGTAAATCTGATCCACTGTCAGTGGAGTGCCATCACTGTTGTACACATCCAAGACAAAGAACTGGAAGAGAAAGGAGAGCCATTCCTGTTAGAATCTAAACACTTCTTAAATATTGTAAAAGGAAGGCTGACTGTCACAGTGTACCTGAAAGTTGTGGACCACGGTGATGTGAGTGGGAGGTTTTTGGCCAGTACTATAATGTAAAACCGTATCTCTCTTGGGTCCAGGAACACGACAGGAGGACAAAATCTGATAATACTGGTCCATGCACAGTGGCTTCCCACTCAAATACTCCACAGGCAGAGTCTCACTATGACAGCAACAAACATGTAATTTCATTATTTTGGGACTTGGGAAATAAATCCTGTTTGTTACAATAAGGAACTTTAGACTACTCACGAGTCAATCATCCTTTTAAAGTCCAAAACTCCCGCGATTAGTTTGGCAGCAAACCTGCACACAGAAAGTTACAACATTACCATCGTGAATATCACAACTGTGTGGTTCATTTGGTTTAAAGCATCAAAGGTAATCTGTCAGGTTTTTAACGCTGATGAGAGGTGGGATAAACTGTCCTTCAAAATGATGTAATACTACTGCTGTACTCCTAAAACTCAAGCACTGGATCACACACCATGATCATTTTACACATTCAAAATGACTCGTTATAGTTTGGAGGTGCATTATATCACTATGGGGCCACCACGTTCGTCGCATATCCAATGTGTCACAGTAGTTAAAAACGGCTGAGCAATGGTATGAGCAGCCAGATGGCTTTAAATAGCCGGCAAGTGGAGGGAATCACTCTTTGAGGGGTCAGCTTGAATCTCCAGCTTAATAACAGCTTGTTTATACTGTACTTCTGGACAAAGTAAATCACTTCAGGGAGCGGTTTTATGACTGCACTCATCAGGAATTAACTGATGTTGTACTAATCCTGGATATCTACAGCACGGTTTTGAAGTCCTGATTTTTTCAAATATACATACATGTATGTAGCGTACATGTGAAGCCGTTTAGATACAACCCCATAAAGATTCCTCACCTGATCTGCCCCTGCCGATCCTGGAAGTGCATTCGAGGCAGAACAACTCCAGGGCTGGTGTAGACTGCCACCGGCATGCGGCAGTCTAGATAGGCCGACTGCATCCACCACTCTGATAGCTACACAAACACACCAGGGAGACAGACAACATGATGTGAGATCTTTTTATATCTCACTCCATCAAAAATATATTAGAGTATAAAGATCTATGCTGGCATGTGCAGCTCAAAAAGTCTCTTAGTCGGTGCAATTACGAAGACTGAACAGGAAGTGAGCTACTGTTCATTTCATCATATCTACCCAGTTTTCTGTCTTTCGTGCCCGTCTCTCCAGTCCTTTCTGCAGCCGTTCTCCAACTCCCCCTTTAATGAACTCCTCCACAAGCTGCTGGGTATGTTCCAGCTCCTCCTTGCTGACGATGGGTTCCAGACTGGCCAGGTAGCGCTCACACGTTTGTTTCAAGGGAGGCACAGGCAGCTTGGGCAAACCCTCCTGATGAACCAGGGTCCTCTCTGGGATCTGCGTTACTGGCCTGAGCAACCGCCGTGGACTCGCAATGCCCGGCCGCAGCTAGAATGCAAGTTGACGAGAACATGCTGTCTTTATGGATCACAATGGTTGGGGACGGACTTCACAACCGCATAAACATCTCCCCTCATTCGAAAGTGAGGAAACACTGGTATTTAACCTTTCTGGTAGTTAAACCAGACCCTTTGGTGACAGGCCTGAAAGATCTAAATGGTCAAAATGTTGTGAATTGCCTACAGATGAAGCCTATAACTGCGGAGACCTCAGACTGAATGACAGAGGAACAGGGCTCACAGATGTGAACAACATGTTGAATTATGTACAAAGGCAGGCATGTTACTGTGTGTGACAATGATTTAGTCTGTGAAAACTGAGACCACGGCAAGTAAATGAAGAGGTTACACTACTCATTCGGAGTTGCTGGGGTGTCTTCTGACAGCTTATAAATAGAAAGTTGACACAGCTGAACCTTTGGGATGGTCGCTAAAACAAACCTACATGAGAGCAACTAATCCATTTAGGAGATCAGGTGAAGCAATGATCAGATTTAGACATTTCTGCAAAAAAGACATGGAGAATGTTCTAATGTTTTTACTATGAATTAAATACCAGCAGAAATCGAATCAATTCAGAGGTGATGTGAATACAAATCTTCACCACTGTGCAGAAGTGAAATATCTGTCAAGCTTGTTTTGATATAGCCACACTTCCGGTTGAGTGTCATCAAAACAAGACCGTTTTGACAACCATGTGCAGTAATTTTATCCCAACTGTCAATATAATATAAACAGCAGGGGGGGGGAGAAAAACGGGTAGAAATAATACCGGAGTGGTTCTGCGTCCCCAAAATCTGCAGCGACACACCTGTCTCCAATAACCTTTAAACAGCCTGCGCGTGCAGCTAGCAGCAAGTCGGGCTACAGGCTACGTTAAGAACATTACGTACAATTCACGCTACCTGGTCACCGAACAGCCTCTAAAACCAAATTCCCCCCGCTTGCAAATGACTCCTATTTTACCCGCACACACAGGAGCGACACGAATTGAATTTTTAGCCCTTTTTGCCACAGCCTTGTTGCCCCGCAGGGCCCCACCCTCCTCACCGGCGGGGGCCGTAAACAACAAACAGAGGGCGGCCGTGGAAACGCTCCCGAACGGTAAAGAAACGGACTCACCGCGGCTCTGACAACGAGCCCTAACATCTTGTCAGAAAGACGCGCTGGAGGCGTTGGACGGTCCCGGGAGAATAGATGGGAAACCTTCGGGCTGTCATTTCCCAAGGACGGGCACTCTGTGTCTGATCAGCTGTCCGCCCCCCCTCGGTTCAACCGGGCAAAGACAGGTAACGGCCCATCTCTCACACAGTTGTTTTCAAAGTGGATCCTCTGGTTGAGAGGATATTTCATATTAAATGTTTTATCAGCAACAGCTCGTCTCTGAAAGTGTTGTTTTCACAGTGGATCTTGTACTTGCAAAAACCTCTGGATGAAAGGATATTTAATATTAAATGTTTAATCAAACACAGATCAAATTCTGTTGGTATCCCCTATATTATTTTTTACTACAGTTAATGTGCAATTAATGAGAACCACTTATAAACGTTTATCTCCCCCCTGAAATGGTACAAATCATAACAAATAAAGAAAAATACGAGGTTACTGTTCACCCCATGTTATATTTTCATCTAATCTAAGTTTAAACTTGAAAACAAAATTGTGATGTGCTGACTTCGTACATGGAGAAGTTGAAATTTAGAGCCAATATATCAGTTTTGTTATTCATTTATTTTACAATTAAGTTGTTTTCATTGATTTTTCCAAGCAGGCCCTGGTATAGAAAATGCATTTACAGAAAGATATCCTGCGTGGAGTGGGTGCATAGTTATGTACAGATCTTTCCTGGACACATGATGGCGCTCTTCCAACATCGTTCCAGAGAAACAGCGATGATTTCTTCAGGAAATGCAAACCAAAGACGCACTCCACTATCCCGAACGGTTTACAATAACACACTCTTAATCTACAGCATGTGCAGAAATGATATTAATCAGTTCGAGAAAAAATCTATGTGCAAAAGTCAGCAATAATTAACACGGTTGCTCTGTGAAGCCACATTTCAGTATTCTTCTACAGTAACAGAAGGGAACGAGAATTGCAGTCGTGTCATTGTTTATTTGAAAGCAACAAAATAAAACGATACAAAGAAAACAATCATACACATCAAAAGGCTTCGATTGCTCTGGTCCAGCCACTGCCTGTCAACAGCGTGTGTTTTAAACAAATTGTTTGAGTGGCGAATATTTGCTCAAGGTCCGTCTGCTGCCAACTCACAAAGTCAGATAGTCCACCTGAGCCCAACACCGAGATCAGGTTGGAAATGTTTGTGCTGTCCAACGGCTCCGACTCTGAATGGGCATCGTCGTCAGTCCTCATCCTTTTACAAGGCACCGGCCCAAAGTCCGGCACATAAAACTCCGGATCAACAATATAATAACTTGTGTCCATCTTTCGCTTTCTGCTGTAGCACTGCGCGCCCTGCGGCTGTTTTGGTTGCGCGCAACAGTCTGAGAGGAAGTATCCGTTTGTGACAGTCGTCACCACATGAGTGTCCAAGTCCAGGACAGTCTTTTGGTTGGCTTGTGTGTTCGGGATTGGTAACTCCCAGGATGATTTGTCCACACAGCTCCAACAGGCTTCCGAGAGCATGAGGTCAGAGTCACTTGGTGAAACCATTGCGCAGGCAGATGCGTCTTGGTGCGCCACATCCGCAGGCTGTCCGCTGGACTGATGCGCTCCGCAGTGCCAAGTGTCCGACTCAACCCCGGTAAAGTTGCAGTAGAAGTCATCAGCCAACTCCGAGAAGCTCCCGGTCAGTTCGAGGTATTCTTGCCTCTCGCGGACTGTCGCAACATCCTCGTACGGAGGCGTCCTCTGCGTCTGCGACAAGTTTTTGCTCATATAAAACTGCCTGGCGTTTCTCAGAACGTACGTTACCAGCAAGTTCTTATGGAGCTTGATGCCTCCTCTCTGCGTCCTGGAGCTTTGGATTTTCCTCAAAGAAATGGAGATCAGGTTCTGTGCTTCAAATGCACACTCCATCCTCAACCGGGCCACCCTTTCTTTCCTCTCACTCTCTCAAAAACGTTCGTTTTCTAGTAGGAGAAATGTGTATGTCTTTAGTTGAGATACCAACTGTGCTCGAGCAGACTGTGTCCATAGCGCACCATGTCTTCCCAGTAAGGGCATGGATTTTCAACTCTCATCTTTCCATGCCACGCCCTCACTTAGACATTGTCCAATGAGAGGGAGGCGGTGCTTCTGTTATACGCAAATATCACTACTAGCAGCACCACTACTTATTCAAAATGCACGTAGGAGCAGACATGCTGCATTTCACTAAAATACAAAATATTATATGACTAGATTGTCTCTCTGAAAACAGAACCAAATAGAATTCACTATGAGAAAAGTTTTTAAAAAATAGAACGTAAAGAGTGAGAATACAATTAATAGTAAACATGTAAAGAGTAATACAGTAACACCTTAAGAGAATAGAATAATGCTAATAAGCTGATATAAAAGTGTACATTAGCTGAATATGACATCATAAGGTACCTTATGAGTGGGATGTCAATGTAATAAACAGGGCCAACACAAAATGATTAAAATAAATATGTAATTCAAAGTTTAAAAGGTAATTGGAAATGGATGACTGCCATAGAATAATGAGTTGCAAAAGTAGTAGAATGGTAAAATGCACTCAAACTAAATAGAATATGAAAGAGTCTTTACATAGCCCAGCAGAGCAATACAATAGTAGAATGTAATAATAAAAGATAAAATACAGTAGAATAACACATTTGACCATTGCCTTTATTAACATTAAAAGTTTCAGGGTAATTCAGATTTAGATATTGCCGATTAAAGACAAAAACAGAGTTTCAGAGCTTTATTTGGAATCCGTCTCTGATATCTTCTAAAAGGCCCATCAATGGGGGGCTATTGCAACTGAGTGCAGTCTCTTTACAAAACCTTAAACATATGACAATAACAAGACTGTATATGGGATTTTATATACTATACTAGTATTTACTTTATATCTCCTGAAATGTAGCTGCACACAGAAACAATCCGCATGCACATATCAGTACACAGTAAATGATTCATTTGCTCTCAGAACCTGACAGTGATGTCATAAGGACTTCCTCTGATAACAGAAATATTGTCACTACACTCCACTCCGTGGAGAAACTCTGCATGGAGAGATTATCTGTCATCTGTGCCCTACATCTGTTTGTACAGACACACACACAGATGGCTGACATCATGCCAAACACCTGGATGGGGCTTTGATTTCCTGCCAAAAAGGTGAATCAGCGGACAGTCACTGTAATGGTTATCCTGCTCCGATAACACTGTTACTTGGAGGATGACATGTGTGCTCCCGTGAGAATCTAGTGTAAATGGAAGCGAACAGATTGTATTTTAAGTGTGAGAATTCTGCATTGTGCAATGATGTGACACAGCATTTCATGACGCAAACATTAAAGGCATTGGTCAACCCAAAAAACTTGTGTTCTGCCCCTTTCTTCAAGTTACTGATTTACTTCTTTACACTGAGCTGTCACTTCAGTGGTGGCTTCATCTTCTCTCCTCACATCTGTGCATCTTCATGATTCAGTTTTATCAATCATTTTATTTTTTTGCCTAACCAAACCATTTCCTCTCAATCAACTACAATAATTCAATAAAACAGATACTAGTTAATTATGAATAGGAATACAGGTAACAATGAATGTATAGAATGAATATAAGTAGAAACCACTGCTGTGTAATACAACTTATTGTATTACGATCTGTAGATAAGTACAAACTACATGTTACTTTTAGAGCAATAATACACTGGTTTCATATCCATTTAAAGTACTTCTATTTAAATGGTGCATTATGGGTATCTGAATAAATTACATCAGAACTGTAAAATGGCCAAAGCATGTTGATATAATGAACTTGGGCTTCATTTGTAAGGTATTTAGCTGTTTCCCTTGAATGTAATTACATTCCTTTTAGAGAAATAGTTTGAGATCGAAACTCTGATTTATAAGATAACGTTTCAGAGGATAATTTCTTCAACTACACATTTTATTTTCAACCTGAGGGAAAAAAATGCAGAGCTTTAGTGCACTGTACAGAATTCTTGCAGACGATGACCACCTGAGGTCTGTAACCTCACATTTCTTCCTTTGTAAAGTTTTGCAGGGCATTTGGCTTCATTTGTCCATTTTGAGGTCTGTGTATCCTCAGTTTAGTCTTAAACTAAAATGCAAATGGTTTTGGGTTCAAGTGTCTGTATGGAGCATTCTGAATATTTGTTTGTACTGTGAAGCCCTGTTCAGTCTGCATTGGGCTGAATCTCCTCAGGTAATGCATCTTACCCCCATCTACCTGAATGTCACCCACCTGTGAGGCAATTTTGCTTTTCTTCAGCAGCAGGACAGTGGGTTCATCAAAAACTGCTTAAGAAGAATTCAAAACATACTACAAGAAGTCCTAGATGTTTACCTGCTCATCAGTTAGCTCAGATCCCAATCTAAACCGTTCCTGATGGCTTTTGTGCTAAAAAAAGCCAAACCCTTAACACCATGCCCTGACTATGACTGGTCAAAGCTCTTTTGGATGCATGGAGGAAAGCTGTTCTTTAGGTTATGGATGATGGATGTATACGCTTCAGAATGCATTGGACTGTTTCTGTCTTCCGTCATATCACCATTAATCACTAATGAGTCAGTATCATAGGATGCCATGCATGTCCATGTCATCAAACTGCCTGCACATATTTACAGTTTCATTTAGCTTTTATATGTATGGATGCTTTTACATAAACAAGTGAAGAAGACAATAAGGGCGATAAAACTTTTTTTTTAAAGATACTTTTTTTTTTTATAATGGACTGATATGCATGCTGGATTCTCATTCTTACACACAGTTTTGTTCATCCTTTGTATATTCTCTGATCTTGATTTAGACTTTTTCTTATAATGAGCAGTCTTATTTTTTTACACTAACATTTTTCATTTGGCTCCGATTTTTGCCTTTGCTGTTGAGAGCACTTTAGGTCTCGCCTATGTTTGAAACCTGCTATTTGAGCAAAACGTAGCTGGCTTGAGTTGAATTCAGTCAACTGTCTTTGTACTGGTGGATAATCAGTCCGGCTGATTAATTTATCCGCCATTTAGTGGGATTCCGGTCACAAGCACGTCCACATCTTCCTCATAATTTTGCAGTCTGTAATTCAGCTCGATCTCACCTTTATCTGCCCAGAGAGCTGTACCAGGAGTCTGAATTTTTCAGACTGTGGAAAAGCTCACACCAGCTTTTCTCTTCCTGAGGCTTCTGAACATTTGCACTTTGCACCTTGTGCTTAAGTTTCTTACTCTGTTTCTTGTCATTATGTTAATTATGTTCCTACCTGCTCAAAGGTGTTCTTTATATGGATTCATCCACCATGGATGTTTTTCATAGCTGAATTGGTCTTTTGTGTTTCCATGCTCATTTTTTTTCCAAACCACTCGTTTATTCAGCCATATTGTTCCCATTATGTTTTTGGTGTGATTCTTTTTATTTTACAGCCTAAATATGGTGTGTTTCCCATTGAAAGGACTTTTGTCTAAAGGTTATCGATTCACAATGATGCAAGCCTCATTATCAAGGCACTTTCACAATCATTAATAATAATATTATTAGTATTTTGATAGTGCTTAAAAAGAGGTCAATGATCTAAATGGAAGGGTTGAAAAGGCTGTCACCCTTATTATTATTTACACTTACAATGTGAAAACCTCATTCATTATGTCAAAACCACTCATTGATATTGTGAGTCTCTGACAAAAAGGTGATTTGCTGCATCTATTTAAAGACTCTCCATTTCAGTTCTTTTAAGTCTCCTCTGGGCTGAGAGTGATACTAAAACTAGAAAAGCCTGTTCAATCTGTACACGCAATGCACAATTCAGTTGAATTAAATCTAATCTAGTCCTACTTATTAGCCCAAATTCAGGACAGAAGCCATCTTAGTATTCCTAACAATATAATGTTATTAAGTTCAAATATTCTCTTTGTGTAGAAATTGGATTAACTGAAAGGGAGAAAAAAGTACCAGTTCAACAGTAAATCTCTTTTGTGATTGATCATTGTAATTGCATCAGTAGTTCGGAAAATGTTGATCCATTGACAAATCTGTCAATTTTACTATGTTTTATCCACATTGTTTAAGTTCATACACAACACAAAACACTCCAACACTAAAAGCAACCTTTTTACCAGGATGAGTTGGCTGAAAACTAAAAGAAAGTTTCTTTTTACCCGACTCATCCACTTGTTTATTTATTATAATAAAAAGTGCTGGTTTCATAAAACCTACCAGAAAAACACCAAATGAAGCCCTTGTATTATGAATGCTTTGAAAACTTGAATAAATAAGAATAAAAGACAATGATTTCCAACTTGTCTGTATAGTGTTTGCCCTACTCTTACCCTGAGCCTAACTCCTGCCTAACAACCACACATACCAACACTTATTCCTATGGACAATTTAGAGTCACCAATTAAGTTAGCTTACATGTTTTTGGATTGATGGGAGGAAGCAGGAGTAACCAAAGAGAACCCACACACAGGATTTAAACTGATGACCCTCTTAATGTGAGGCAAAAGATTGAGATGATTATCATTCTAAAATGCTGCAGTACCTTAGGACATGTAAAAGTTTTCTTTGCATCTGTTTGAGATACATTCTGGACATTGGTTGGTGCTGTACTGCTTGATGATTTCTGCAAATACCTCTGGTACTTTGTTCACTTCCATTATGATGCATTAGCAAAGCAACAGGACAGTTTACACGTGGAAGGAGCTAAGTGCCTATTCCAAAGTTTAAGTAATGCCTGGATAAAAATAAAAGCATCCAGATGAGTTGAAGACGAGATGCTTAGGATGCATAGCAGGAACGTGATGGAGATTGAATAGAAGGAAGTTTAAGACCATTTCTCACTTAATCATCATGGGGAGTGTGAGACTACTGGATGGTAAAACGGAGTTCAGAGCAGT